CTGAAGGAGGGCGGGGGAAGGTGTCGGGGTCGGCGGCGGGATCACCTGCGGCCATGGAGGAGACGCAGCCGCTTCCGCAGTCCGGGCTACAGCTGTGCGACAGCCTCATCATCTGGGTGAGTAGGACGCGGCGGTGGGGGCCGGGGGCCGCGGCGAGGTGCCCCCGGGCCCCGGGTGTCCCCTGGTGAGCCTGAGGACGACCCGGGCCACCTGCACCGCGGACGTGGCGCATTGCCCTCCGCGCCTTCTGGCGCCCTTGACCGCGAGAGTGCCACCTGCGGGTCGCGGGGCAGGTGTGTGTGAGTGTGTGAGGGGGGCAGGGAACTCGGGGAGCCGGACGGAGGAGGCTAGTCTTAAACCCGTGATCACGCTCCTTCCTGACAGCTGTGGCTGGAGCCAGGCGCCCAAACCCTTGGCTCCTCTGTCCCATTTTCCCCTGCCTGGCGTCCAAACCCTGGACTTCTGGATCGCAGACTCGCCCACCTTCCATCTGCTGTACAGCCTTCCCACGGGGACCTTTGTGCCCCTTGGGAGTCCAGATCCCCTCGGAAAACCTCTCTTCCACCTCAGCCACCTTGCTGTATATCTGCACAGGTGGCCAGAAGGTGGTTTTAGTGCCTGGATGGATCAGTGCTACTCCTCCACACCTGGGCACCCGATTTTGTAGCAGCCACTTAGATGTTTACACGCATTTCTTAGGTGGAGAAAAAGATATTGAGGCTGGGGGCTCCTATTCCCTTTTTCTCGCTGCCTTCTCTAACAGACGAGCGTTTTACTTAAAAAAGACTTGGCATTTCTGGTTGTACTTCAGCCATGCTTAGTATTCCTGTTAATTTGTGTTGGGTTTGGGCAAGCAGGATCTGTCCCCAGTATTCCCATCCTCAAAATGATGTCTCACCTTTTGGAGGTGCTCAGCTATCAGAGATCTGGCATGATGTGATTTCTAACCCATGTTGAGCAAAGCTGGTGCTCAATGGTCCACCAGGTGTTGTTAATGACGCACATGCCCAAACCAGTTGTTTAGTTTTGTGTAGGGTAGTGTGTGCAAAATGGAATGTAAACAGACTGGATCAGGAGGTGATAATTGGTTGTTGAGACTCCTAAGAGATCTCCTAATGCATGTAATTCAAAAGAATGAGAAATCAGGCAAGGTTTCTGGCACTGTGTGAGGTGTATTGAAAATAATCATAATTTAAAGCAACTTTTACACTTTGGAGGTATATAGCTTGCTTTAAGTGGAATGCAAGTATCCAGGGCTTCTGAGTTGAAGCAGTTAGCTAACTGTTCATCTGTATTTTCATTTAAAGTAAGTATTAGGTACTATATTTAAGGCTGTCATGAAACAAGGCAACATTACTTTTAATGATGTGTTTTGTTAAAACAAATTACTAATTAAAGGGTGTATCCCATTCTGTTACACTATTGCACTACACCTCTGACTTAAGTAGTAAACTAGTCTTTATGATGTCGTTGACTTAAACATCAAGTGGTGGAGAAGCATAGGGTTTTCTTGAATTGTATTGCAGTATTTTTAAGTATCATGTGACCATGTCCCTTCTGTTAACCAGCATTTATTGAGCTCCTACTTTGTATAAGGCACTGAGGGAGACAGATACCAAGAATAATTAAAGAACTTTCCATTTTAATTGGAGTGGTTGGCAAAGCTGTGTGTTTTTACAGTGGAAGGCAAAACTTCTTAAAAACTGTACAAGCAGCATAAACCTTTAATATATCAGGCTTTTTAACTTCTTCTCCCTCTACCTAGAATATTTTTCCTAGGTCTTTCAATGGCTGGCTGCTTCTTACCATTTAGTTCTGTGTCTGTCGTCATCTTTCAGAGAGACTCTGTGACAGTGAGTGACTTACTTGTCCCCACTCCCATCCCACTGTAATCTGTTAATCCCTTTCTTTTGTGCCTGTATCACTTAATAATTTTTGAAGTCATTCTCTTTGTCCCTTGGGGTCAGAGCCCTTGTCTGACCTGTTTTCTGCTCTATCCCCAGGATTAAGAACTGCCTGGGATCTCCAGTACAAGGTTGATTCACAGTGGTAATAGTAAATATCCTTACCTTGGTCCTGACCTCAGAGACCAGTATTTCACCATGCAGCATTTCACTATTAAGTATGTAGGTTTTTGTAGATACCTGAGGTCAATTTTTAACTTTATCATAGAGTATTAATGGATTTTGGCAAGTAGAAATCAGGGGAAGTGAGTTTTCCAAACACAGGGAAGAAACCCCAGTGCTCATGTAAATGGTCTCCTTTGGCAATAGATTGAAAAGAGGTAGTGGAAGATGTTTGTCATGATATTCATGCTCTCTTAATGTGCTTCCTACCATGCTAAGTAGTAGGAGATATAAGATAAAAAAGTTTTGATGGAGCCAAATGATGGAGGTGAGCAGACAGTTGGTGGTAAATTGTATTCTTTCAGTGCTAGACGCTGTTGGAAGACAGTAGAACTGTCATTAACAGAATTAGAGAAGTCATCAAGAAAAGCTGATTAGGTGAAGAGATGCCTCTTGTGGCAGTTATAAAAAAGTTAGATTTTATGATTTTTGTAACTCATGAAATAATTACTTAGAAATGTTATACTGCTTGCTACTTAGCAAAAAATTCAGGGCTGAAAGATAAATTTGGGCATCATTTACATGGTGGAAGGAGTGTATGAGAGTATGAAGTAGTTGTATGAAGATAAATTTAATTGCTTCTTGACTCTGAATTGGAAATTTTAAATCTTTGGAATTTACTTTCACTGATAAAATTGGGGGTCTGAAACAGGTTTTTTTTTAAATGGTTCCATTAGTTCTTGCATTCTTTGACTTTGACAGGCAAATTAACCTTTGTTAATTAAAGGCTGAAACATTTTTATGAAGAACTTAAAACTCAATACAATGATCTTTCTGAAATAAGCAGCTAGAGGAGGAGAATGTGAGAATAGAGTTGCCTCAAGGTTGAGTTTTTGTTAGCTATCAGTTGTGAAAACCCCCCTTTTTCTTTTCTTCCTTGATTACTGTGATGTTTACATTGAAGCAGTTCAGGAACAGCATTTCCACATTTATTTTTTGCTTTATTTAAAAACAAAGAAGGAAGTAAGATGGTTATTTGCCAGAACACTGTTTAGTGATGGGAGCCCTCTGTCTGTCCATTTTGGGTCACTCACTAAAAAGATGTTTGCCTCTTCACCTCTGTGAAGAGTAATGTGAATGAATACATTTTCTTTTGTCTCTGTGCTTTGGCCTCACTCCCCCCACTGAGCTTTTTAATTCATTCACTCTTCTTGGTTATAAAGCCTTTCAATTTAGCCAAATGAAATTACATTCTCTGTGATCTAATTTATTTTGCAGCTAGTATAACAGCTTCCAAGAGACACTCCAATTCTGTGGATGTAAGAAGGATAAATTGATCTTTTTTAAAAAAATTATTTTTCATTGACTTTATTGGGGTGACATTGGTTAATAAAATTATACAGGTTTCAGGTGTACAATTCTACAATACATCACTTGTAAATTGTATTGTGTGTTTACCACCCCAAGTCAAGTCTCCTTCTATCACCATTTATCCCCCCTTTACCTTCTTCCTCCCCAGCCCTCGTTCCTCTGTCAATCACCAGACTATTGTCTGTGTCCATGAGTCTATCTTTTTGAGAAATTGATTTTCATCTGGGTATGGTGGGCAGCTGGGCACCTACTTAGTATATATTCTCCTTTTACATATTTCTGTGCTATTTTGCCTAATGTTCTGTGTCTCTGAAATTGTTCTTTGAAAATCACTAACCATATCCATTTTGTAAAAAGTTAATGATGTGAAATGTAAGTAGGAAGGGTTGAAAAGTGGGAGCCGCACTTTATCTTTTAAAGATTCTCTAAACCCTGCGATATCTTTTCCCTGTATACCCACCCAATTGCAAAATTCTTTTTATTTTATATTTTAAATATTCCATGAATTCATCCTGTCCTCTCAGTCAGCATTACCCTAATTATCTCTAGGCTATCCATTTTATTAACTATCTTGTGCACACTACAATACTCTCCTCCATTCTCTGTTTCACTATTGCTACTATCTAAAACATACCAAAGATGTCACTCTCTTCCTTATTACTCTTAAGTGATTCTTCATCACCTAGAGTAATGTTTCTAAAAAACTAATGTGCATGAGAATCACTTGAAGATTTTCTGATTTAATATGTCTGGAGAGATTGTGATACACATCATTCTTAGTCCCCACACTTTTCAGAAACTGACTCATAGCAAATGTGCTAACAGCTGTTGAGCATATACCATGTGCCAGGCACTAATTTGAGTACACTGCTAATTCATTTAATTCTCACAACCATCTTTTGAAGTAGAAGCTATTCTGCTGTTTTCCATTATATCAATGATACCATTAAGGATAAGTCCAAGCTTTTTGTCATGGCCCTTCAGAGTCCTGACTCATGACTGGTTTTTTTAACCTCCTTGGTTGTCACCCCTTCCCCATCCTTTATTTTTTTTTCTTTTTTAGTTAGCTTTATTTATTTCAGAGAGAGGAAGGGAGAGGGAGAGACAGAGACAGAAACATCAATGATGAGACAGTCGTTGATCAGCTGCCTCCTGTACACCCCCTACTGGGAATTGAGCCCTCAACCCAGGCATATGCCCTGGCAGGGAATCGAACTGTGATCTCCTAGATCATAGGTCAATGCTCAACCACTGAGCTACACTGGCCAGGCCCCCATTCTTCTCTGCACTGGAAATCCAGTAATACTGAACTGCATGTTACCTAAAAATACCATCTCTTTTCATGTACTTGTGCTTTTATCATGTTCCTATTTTCTGAAGTTTTCCTCCCCCTAACCCTTTCATTATTGAAGACATTTCATCCAGGAATCATCTCTAAAGAAGTGTTTCCTAAATACAAGTCCTAATTAGATTAGTTGACTGGTATATTTTACAACACTTTGGGCATACTACAATCAAGGAACTACAAATGGTATTTCCTAAAAATGATTTGTGTTTTTTACCTCCTCTCCTTATCTCTTGATTTAGGCTACTTGAGGGTAGAAATGTGGTGATTTTCCTTTGTAAAACCATCCTATACTACAGTGCCCCATATAGAGTAGGAGCTCAGTAAGGTATCTCTGTGTACTTTGAAAGTAACTATGGCTAGGTTTAGTTTGTCTATGCCATTCTTCCATGTTGTCTTAGGATAAGAGACAGACTTGTAGAATCTTAAAATATACAAAACCACTAAAGGTAAATTATGGTTGGAGGGAATTTTATTGGATTAAGGTAAGTGGTAGACTAAGGAATTATAATTGAATAGTAAGGGAGATGAACATGTGTGGGGGAAAAAAATCAATCATAGTGTATTTCATTTAAGATCATTATGGGCTGAGATTAGATTTCTAGAAAGTATATAATCCATTTTTGCTCTGTTATAATTTGCTTTTTTTTTTTTTTTTAAATCCTTACCCAAGGATATGCTTATTGATACTAGAGAAGGGGGAAGAGAGAGAGAGAGAGAGAAACATCGATGTGAGAAAGAGCATTGATTGGTTACCTTCCATACGTGCCCAGACCAGGAATCGAACTGGTAGCCTTTTGGTATTTGGGATGATGCTCTAACCAACTGAGCCACACCAGCCAGGGCCAATTTGCTTTTTAAAAATTTTTCTATCTTATGTTTGCTTATTAGAAAAATGTGCCACTATTTCATTTTTCTATTTATTATGTACATGAGTGTTTAACAAATAGAGCTTTGAAAAGTTGTAATATCTAAAACTAAAATAGAAACAACTTGACATTGTAGATGGGCTTTGGTCTGTTCATGTCCTAAGGCTAATTGTTGAGCAGCAGACAGAAGTCCTGCCATATTTTAGAGTTCATTGGTAAACTGTGTAGTAGTTTTAGACTTGATATTTCTAGACTTGTTTTCCTACCTAATGATATGAGTGAAATTTTCACTTGTAAATGTTAGGTTATCTTGAAATTCATTTTCTGATGTTATTCTCCAAAAACGAGACAAAACACAGACTATACTTAAGAGTTCTATATGTGGCTTTCAGAAATTCTGAAGTACTTCATACATGACATCAATATATATGAGTTTTAGGTATATTTTTTTATGATTTTTATGAAATGTTAAGTGTTTATTTTTATAAAAATATTACACAGCCACAGAAACTTGTTAGTATAGTTTCACTTATTTGGCAGGGCCTGAATTTAAACAAAACACGTCAGTTTTTTAGCTATTTTTATCTCTAATGTTCATATATATGTGTGTGTATATATATATATATTTTGAAGGGAGGATGGTAATGCTACCATGTAGGTATAAAGAGGCAGTGAAGTCATTTGCTTTATGTCATTTTAGCTGCAGACATTCAATACCCCTGCACCTTGTCAAGATGTGAAACAGCTGGCGAGTGGAGTTGCCATGGCACAAGTTCTCCATCAGATGTAAGTAGTGTTCCCAGCTCTTCCTGAAAGAATTGTAAACCCAATACCAAGGAAGAAAACTTAGACTTGTATTCTAAAGGCTATTGAAACTTTATTCTATTCAGTGATGACAAGCACATGGTACCAAGGCATTCTGACATCTAGGGAACAAAAAAGTGTAACAATTGATTATTCTTTGTTTATAAAGGTATATCTTAATGAGCAATCAGGATTCTTATCTCTTCCACAGATGTTAATTTTAAACTTGTTCTGATCACATTCACAAAGTTATAGTAACTGAAAAGAACAGGTTAAAGGAATGGTATATAATTGCTTATAATGTTTCCTCCAGTTATACTATTGTCATTTGAAGGTATCAGTGCATACAAAATATAGATTTAGACAAAATATTAAATTTTAAAATCTATATTTGAACTAATAGTAAAGGTATGAATCCACCAATAATGAAATGTTGTATAAATGAAATTTGAAGTCACAAATGCTGGAGAATGTTAATAAAGTGAGTCTTTTTGGGTTTGGCCCATTATATTTAATCCCATAATATCAAAAGTTCTTAACTCCATTATTTCCTGATTTTTGCAAAACACATTGTATAAGGATTAAGGTTTTGACATCTACAGTGTGTGCTGTGCCCTTTAGAAAAAACATGGCCAATTCTGTAGTCATAATTTATTTATTAATAGTCATTGATTTTGTATTAGCTTACTTTCATGATAATATATCTTCAATGAGACCACAATCCTATCTCTGCTACATTGTTTTATAGTCAGAGATTTTCTTATTTAATTGTTGCTATCGTTTTGTAAAGGTTTGTTGTGATTGAAAACCCCCATAGATGGGTTAGAAAAAATTCTTTACCACTCTTAGAAAAACAGAACAATATCAAAATTCTGATTACTTGGAATGGTCAAAATGGTCTAATTTAAATAGACACATTTTATAGTTAACTGAAGATTAACATTTTAAGAGACAGGCTTAACATGTTAACATTTTGGCAGGGAGGCTGTCATTCTGAAATATGCCTTACTCCCTTGTTTTCTTAAAGGTGTTTCTTAAATATTTTGTTTGTTCACACCCTGATTGGTTTCAAATGTCATTCTTTAAGATCTTATTTAATACATAAATATTTGATATAGCAGTTTTTTATGTTGATCTTTAATATCAATAGGACTTTGCTTAATAAGTTTAAAATGTGTCCTTGTAGATTTCTTATTACCCATTTTATTCAGTTACAATCAAATTTATTTGGGGCTTTGCCAGATACTGATTTCACTTGGGGCAAATTCGGTTCTCTTATCATCAGTTCCCTGAAGAGTAAGATTGGAAATAATAGATCCTTTGCCCAAGTTAATGTGACATTTAAATGAAGTAATATGAAAAAACATCAAGCACAGTGCTTGAAACATAGTAGACATTAAAAACTGGTTTTCTCTTTTTTTCTCTCCTTTAGGATAGGGACTTTTACATCTTCCTGCTATCAGGGTGCCTGTTAAGACATATTTAATAAATGTTTCTTAAATTGAAGATGTGAATGACTTACGTAGTTTATTATGAGAAGTTCCTAAATAAATCCTTAGGAAAGCAAAAAACTTAGTGCTTCTTTTAAATAGTATGTACTATTCTTATTAAGGACAAGCTTTAAGATATGAAATAACTTTCTCTGTTGGTTTAATTTGATATTTTACATGTAATAAAATTTTAATGTTTAGCATTTGTATTTTTGTTCCAGTGATGTGGCGTGGTTTAATGAATCTTGGTTAAGCCGAATTAAGGAGGATATTGGCGACAACTGGAGAATAAAGGTACGCAGAATGAATGGAAGAATCACTTGATCCAAACATTGGTTCTAAAATTAGTACTAAGCTCAAATAAATCTTTTTAAAAAATTAACTTAAGGTTGCATTTGTTGTATAGGGTTTGAGTTTTGATACATGTACATTCCTGTGTAACCATCATCATAGATAGATATAGGAAATTTTTATCAATCTAAAACATGTGCTTAGCTCTTCCCAGTTAATCCTTATTCCTACCTTGCCCCAGGTGGCCACAAATCTGCTTTCTGTCACTGCGGGTTTCATTTTTAGAGTTCCATATGAATGGAATCAAACGTGACATACTCTTTGTCTCTAGCACCTTTTACTCAGTATAATGTTTTTGAGACTCATCCATGTTAGTTGTATTAACAGTAGATTTCTCTATTTGCTGAGTAGTATTTCATTACCTATTGATGGATGTTTGAATTGTTTGTTTCCTCTTTCTTTCCTAATATTGTAATTTATGTGTTTTGTATTTTTGTCTTGCATAAGTCTGGCTCAATCTTTTTGAATTTTATTGATCTTTTTCCAAAGAGCTAACTTATGTATTGTTTTATTGATTTTTCTCTCTAATATTTTTTATTTCCTTTCTTCTACTTATACTCTGCACTTCTTTTTCTTGCTTCTTAAGGTGGAAGCTTAAGTCATCATCAGTTTTAGGCCTTTTTCCCCCCAATATTAAGCATTGCCTTAGCCATACTTCACACATTTTGACATACTGTGTTTTTATTTTCAATCACTTCAAAATATTTGGTAATTTCCCTTGTATTTTTCCATTGATCCATGGTTAATTAGAAACAGTATTTTAAATTATAAAGATTTAGGGTTTTTAAGTAACTTTTAAAAAATTTCTTAATTTCTAATTCTATTTTGATATTAAGAAATATGGAAATAAGAAATGGAAAGTTTTTTTTCCATTAAAAAATTCCTTTAAATTTACTGGACTTATGACCTAACATATGGTCTGTCCTGGTGAATATTCCATGTACACTCAAAAATAACATGTATTCTGCAGTTCTAAAAATTTTGTCAGGTTTGTTGATAATACTGTTTGCATCTTTTATATCTTTATTGATTTCTTACCTGATTATTTTGTCAAGGTAGAAGGACTCCTTTAATCTCTAATGATGATTGTGGATTTGTCAGTTTCTCCTTTAAGTACTGTTAATTTTTAAATCATATAATTTGAATCTGTATTATTAAGTTTATATACATTAATTTTTTATGTCTTATTGAATCTATTAATCGTTATGATATGCCTTTCTTTATCCCTTATAATATTCTTTGTTCTAAAGTCTAATTTGTCAGATGCTAATGTAGCCACTTCAGTTTTGTGATTATATTTTGCTTTAAAATATACCTTTTCCTATTCTTTTAATCTCTGTGTTTTTATATTAGAAGTGTTTCACGTAGACACCTAATAGTTGAGTGAGTCTTTGCTTTTTTATCCAGTGAACAGCTCTTTACTTGGTTCTTTAAAAAAACAAAAACAAACCTTTCCATTTCTTATACCCATATTTTCGTTGAAATCCTTGAACATTTTTAAACTAGCAGTTTTAACATCATATTCTAATTCTTTCATTTCTCATTTCTGGGCTGTTTCTATTGACTGAATTTTGTCCTCATTATGGTCCACATTTTCCTGCTTTTTTACATGTGTAGTAATTTTTTATTGGATGCTAGACAGTGTGAATTTTGTTTAGTGCTAGACAGTGAATTTTGTATTCTTTTATAGAGCATTGGACTTTGTTCTTGCGGGCAGTTAAGATACTTGTGAATCAGTTTGATCCTTTGAAGGTTTTGAGGTGTGGAAAGCAGATTCTCTAGGGCTAGGTTAGACCCACTACTAAGTTGTGATCTTTTAAGGGTTGTCAGTAAATGCTTGTTTGTAGTCTCTTCACCTTGGCTGGTGGGAATTTCTACAATTTCTGGCTTGTATAATCATTGGAAATTTTTCAGTTTGTAGTTTCCGGACTGTTCTTTCCTTAGAAATTAGTTTTGTTTAATTTCATTGACTTTCATTCATGCACATATGAATTAGTATTCAGTCATAGAGTCAAAGGAACCATTATACAGATTTCTGGAGTTCTTTCCTCCATAGCTCTCACTTCTTCATTTGTATGTCCGGAAAATTCTAACTTCCTTGACCTTCATGAACTTCTGTTCTCTATTTCCTCACTTCAACAAGAACATCAAGCTTTGTTTAGTTTCCACTGCCCTGTGCTGTGGTGTAAAAATTGCCTCCAGAAAGAAATCTTGGATATAGGGCTCATCTTTTTTTGTTTTCCTTCTTTCAGAAAATAGAGTTCTATATTGACTGTTAGGTAAAGCTTGAAAACAATTGATCCTTGTAGTTTCTCCTGTTTTCTAGTTTTTTGTGTCAGGAGAATAAGTCTAGACCTGTTACTCATTCAGGACTGAATGTGGACATATTCAATCTTTAAAGTTGGTACTTCATTCTCTCTCACTTTAAATAGAATCACCTGGTTAAACTGTGTAAGCATGCAGACATTTTTTTTCTTTCAGGCAAACTGATTAGCACTTCAGTGTTTAAAAATTATCATGTACTTATATTTGTAGAACTCTAACATGTAGTATTTTTGTTGTTTTATCGGGGTAGTTTTTATTGTCTTTCACCTTGTCATACATTTATTATTAATATCAAATTATTTAATTATTCTTTCTTTCCCCATTAGGCTAGTAATTTAAAGAAGGTACTTCAAGGAATTATGAGTTATTACAGTGAGGTATGAAAAACATCTGACTTTGTTTAAATACAAAATATATGTGATAATTATAAGACACTGCAAAAAGACTTGGCTTGCCTTACCCAGTTTGGCTCAGTGGTTAAAGCATTAGCCTACGGACGGAAGGGTCCTGGGTTTGATTCCAGCCAAGGGCACATACCTTGGTTGCAGGCTCAATCACCAGCCTTCCACTTTCTCTGAAAAGCAATGGAAAGAATATCCTCAGGTGAGGATAAAAAAAAAGTGACTTGGCTTTTTCTTTATAACATTTTGCGGGAAAATAATTCATAACTGGAATGTGTATGTTTTTGCCACGTTTAGAACATTCAAATTTTTTGAACATAAACAGGCTTAAACTTAATATATTGATTTGGGAAATAATTTTGCTTTTTTTTTAAATATGTTTTTATTGATTTTTAGAGAGAGGGGAAGGGAGAGGGATAGAGAGATAGAAACATCAATGAGAGAGAAACATCACCAATCATCTGCCACCTGCACGCCTCCTGAGCCAGCAACCAGGGCATGTGCCCTGACTGGGAATCAAACCCATGATCTCTTGGTTCATGGCTCGATACTCAACCACTAAGGCACACCAGCTGGGCAATGTTGCTTCTATATTGATACTCTTTAAATTGATTATATTTTGAAATAGAATTCCATTTATATATTATTTGATTTTAGGCAATGCCATAAAGTAGACCTTACAATTAATTTGAAATTATTTTATGTTTAAAGCATTATTTTGATAGTTGTTTCCAGTGCAAACAATAGCAAAAATATACTGTGAAATTATGCCTGTGCAAATGAATTGGGGGAAAAATGAAAGTAATAATAAACTCCCATAAGCTAGCACATTATTTAAGTAGGGTTATATTTTTATTATTATTCAGCATCTTAAGTTCCCTGGTAGGATTATTTGATATAAAAAGATTTATTGCTTAATGTTTGGAAATGGTAGCAATTGCCATTAAAAAATTATGTTTTTATTTTTTTAAAGTTGTCATAGTTAAACTTATAATTTCTTCCAAATAATTTTAAGACTGAAATTTTTCAATTTATTTACACCTGAAACTCATTTTGAAGCTTTTTCTATTGCCACAAAAACTCTTAATAAGCTAAAAAATGAAAGATTAATTCATTAGGTTGTCCATCAAAATATCATGAATATTCTTTGGCTAACATAATATTTTTATTTATTTATTTTTTAATGAAAAGGCCTAAATTTTGTCATAATAGATCAGGCCAGGGGTTTCTTAAACAATCCCTTTTGGACAGTGGGCTCAAAGGATATTTGGTACAAAAGGATTTTAGTTCCTTTTGGTTAGTTACTCAAAATTTCGAGAGGTGGCTTGAACTTTACTAACTGGTTTTAGTCAATAATTTTGGGTTTATCATTTTTTAATTTATCTGAGTCATTGTAAGAACCTATTTAAAATTTATTTTTCTAATAATAATTAAATGTAGTAAATTTTTCGTAGCCTACATAAATGAATGATCTAATTTATTGTTTCAATATTGCAGTTTTTGGGGCAACAGATTTCTGAAGAACTTATTCCTGATTTAAACCGAATAACTGAAAATTCAGATTCTGTGGAGCTTGGGAGGTTACTGCAGCTTATTTTAGGTTGTGCAGTCAACTGTGAAAAGAAGCAAGGTAAGTGAATTTCATTCATTTGAGAATATGTACTTTCTAGAAACAACCTATGTTGCTGTAGAAAGTAGGACTAAAATGTGTTATTACTGGTTGACAGAAAGCATCCTAAAATGGAAGCCAGGAGATCTGAATTCTAACGCAGCTCTGCCACTAAAAAGCGACCAGTTTCGAGTATCATAATTATACCTGGATTCTGAGATTCATATTTAGTGGTTAAATAATGCATTTTAATTTAATTAGTTTAATTTACTATATTCAATGCTTAAGACTTAGTGGATAATCAGTAAAAATTGTACTTACTTGTTTGATACATTATCTTTTTTACTTGTAAGATCTAGAACCTTAGGTTGATTCAGATTTTTATAAATAAATATTCAGGTGTTAAATTATAATCCAGGCTTCTTTAGATGGTATTTGGCTCTTCAGAAGAATGAATGCCTGTCCAATGTATCCTCCAAATAAAAGTTTAATGATATAAATGGAATTTGTGTATTATATTGATATAAACAAACACAGTGATCCATGTTCTACTGAGTACAAAAAGATCATTTTTGGTTGAATATAGTGAATAAAATGATGAACTGAGCAGACCAGGATCTACTTGCCACAAGGGCTTGCGTCGGTCTAGGTGGTAACATTTTTTATGCTGGTGCTTTTTGCATGATTTGACCAAATTAGGCCTTAGTGCATTACCTTTAAAACCAAATGTTGGGTACTTAAGTTTGTAAAATATTTTAAGCCAGGACCTTAGAAAACATATTCCATGTTATCTAATTAAAGAAGAGAGCATATGAGACAGGATAAATTCAATAAAAACAAATTCAAGAAGGAGAAAAATAAAATACGTGAAATAATTGTTTATCAATGAAAAGGGATTGAGTATCTGGAAATTTTGATATTAGTTCATCCATCTCTATCATTAACTAGTTATTTTTTCTAGGGCATGTCAGTACCTTTATAGAGGCTTTTATTTTTCACAGATAATGTCAAAGATCTATCTATTGGTTTTTTTCACAAAAGTAAGGAATGTGAAGTTAAAACTTCTGTAAATGTTTAATTAAAAATTGACAAATAGCTTATTTTTAACTTAGCAACTTTCTGTTATTTTGATCTTTTTAATTTTTTATTTCATTAATGTTTTATTTCTATTTCAATTACTGGTTACATATAACATCTGTTTACCAATGGTCAGAAGACTTCAGGGCATTTAAAAAGGCACAGGATTCTGGCCAGCATGGCTCAGTGACTGGGCATTGACCTATGAAACTGTGACCAGGAGGTCACAGTTTGATTCCTGGTCAGGGCACATGCGTGGGCTTTGGGCTCAGTCCCTAGTAGGGGACATGCAGGAGTCTGCAGATCAATGACACACTCTCTCATCATTGATCTCTCTCCCTCTCTCTTCCTCTCTCTGAAATCAATAAATAAAGAATGGCTACTATTTCTTTATATTTACTACTTGCTAAACTTTTACTTATGTATCTAGGAATTGACTTTCCTTTAAAAATATGAGGACCACATTGCTGAATAATGCTTAGAAGTAAATTATGAAAATACTAAAATTTGAAAATACTAAAATACAAGCATTAAAATTTGTGGGAGGCAACAAAATTATAATGTAAGGGAAAGTTCTAGCTTAAAATGTCAATCATAGGTTGACATAGAAGAACTGACTTACAGCGGAAGGAATTAGATAAGAGAACAGATGTTAACTAGTACAAATAAAAGAATCAAAGCCACAGTTGTTTCTTTAAAAAGAGTATTAAAACACAACTGGAATATAAAGCAGTTTCCATGCCTTCATGCTTTGGAAACTTGATTTTCAGAATGATCCCAAGGTATTGCAAAATTTTAATCATGAAAGAATGAACTAGTTTGGTAAGAAATACCCTGTATATTTTGGTGGGGAAAGTGATCATTTTTATGATGGTTTTAGCAAACTGGAAGCACTCTATTATCCCAAAAATTTAAAGGAAACCATTCCACTGCCTGTGCATTCTCTAGTTAATTCTTTCCCTCTCCCCACCCTCATAGCACTTAGTGGTCAGGTACATACCAGAATCTGAATCTTTGTCCAGTTCTTGACTTCATAAATAAAAGAAAGATTTAAAGAACTTTAGAAATTTTCCAGAGGAGTCATTAAAACAATAAAATTACTAGAAAATAAGAAGTCCTTAAAGTTTTTAGAAAATTATTTTAGCTAGAAAACATACAGTTGAAATGGATTTAAGTCTGCAAATATGTGAAAGATGTTTTCTCATGATTGCTCATTTCTTACTGGGATAGTATCAGCTTAACTTATTGCATGTGTGTTTGTGGTAAGGCATAAGTATCTCCTTGAGATGACACTTGGTAAATGTTGAACAGGCTTTACAGGAGGCTACATAAGTTCCTTCTTTGAAAGCCTTCCTGAAATAAACTAAGTAGGAGATGAAATGAACTAAGTAGGTGATCAAATGAAGCTTTCTGTGCTTAAGATTTTAGGAGTTCATTTAATACATGTGAATTTATTCCATAATACCGAATATTTTAACAAGAGGGAAGAAATTGTTATAATTGTTTTATTGCAATTATTTATAATTGTTTATAATTGTTATAATTGCAATTTATTCCTTTTTGTTCCTTATAACAAAGTTAGAAGTTTTCTTTTTTAAAACAAAGCATTTAGCCTTGGCTAGGTTGCTCAGTTGGTTGGAGTGTCATCCTATACACCAAAATGTTTCAGGTTTGATTCCTCGTCAGGGCACGTACCTAAGTTGCAGGTCAGATCCCTGGTCTGGGTGCATACCAGAGGCGACCAATTAATGTTTCTCTCTCATATTGATGTTTCTCTCTCTCTTAAAAGCAATAAAAACATATCCTCAGGTGAGAATTAGTAAATAAGTAGATAAACCATTTAAAATATGTATATGAACGTTTTCAATTCTGTGTATTTGTTTTTAATGAACATCTTTCTTGTGGAAAAATAATGTACTTACATAGACAATTATGTGGTAAATGCATTTTTATACTATTAATTGAGTGGCTTAAGTACTGTAGATAAAGAGTAGATTTTTTTTCAGATCTAATTTTTTTCTTTTTAAATCGTAGAACATATTCAAAATATAATGACACTGGAAGAGTCTGTTCAACATGTGGTCATGACTGCTATTCAAGAGGTAAGTTGTGTCATGTTCACATGGATATGAAAATCTTAAACCAAACAATATAAAACTTCCCATAAATTTTATGCATGTATCTGTTTATCTATATATATCTATATCTATATCATCTCTCTCTCTCTATATATATATATCATGCATTTTCAGAATGCTAGAACTTGAAGCAAACATGGTGATACTTACTTAGGTTTTGGAGCCAGTAGTCTGGGTTCAAGCCAGTCTAGTTGTCTAAGTTGAACCATAAAGGTTCAGAATTCATGTGGTGCATGTTGATTCTTAAAATCAGACGAAAAAGGCAGAGATAGCAGAGGAGACCTGCAGGAAATTAGAGTGAGGAATTAGTGAGGACAGACATAGTTTGGAAGGGGCATGATATAGAGGTAGACATCATATAGTACTTTAGAAGTTTGTATACTCTGAGTTTGCATTGTTGGTTTGAATTCAAAGTGTCACTATACATAAATAAATCTTCCTTTTATATGCAAAATAGTTATTTTACAGAATTTTTTCATATAACTCCTACTTTTAAAATCTCTTTACATTAGTAATTTTGCCGTATCGCTCATTTATTTTTTATTTATTTACTCTTTTTCCTTTATATTGAATTTATTGGGGTGACACTGGTTAACAAAATTATATGGTATTCAGGTGCACAATTCTGCTATATCACTCATTTAAAGGCTGTATTTTAAAAGTATTAATTTATGCTATGGAAAAAGCATTTTTTATTATGTTCAGTTTTCTTTAGTCATTCATCTTTTAGAACTTGGATTATGATTTTTTAGTGCACAAATATTTTCAATATGGCTACATATTTTAAGCATACTTTGCTTACTTTGCTTAAAATATATCCTCACCAGTGTCGTGCTTTGAACATTGTATTATTTAACTTAAACCTTTGTAAAATTTTTATTTGAATAATAGTCTAAGGATTATCAAATAAGACAGAGAAAAACTATAAAGTATTTCACTGTCCTTTGAAGTAAACATTTTAACTGTATAAACATCACTTTATTGTACTTAATTTACTATTTTAATTTCCTAGTTGATGAGTAAAGAAACATTGAGCTCTCCTACAAATGATGCTGTTGGAGAATTAGAGCAACAGGTGAGTATTTTGAGGAAGATACAGAAAGCAAAGATACAGTACTTTGTCAGTTACTATCAGAAAGCTTACAGAGAACATATGCAGGATTGTTTTCCTCCATAAGGTTTAGATAACTTACGCTCTTATAAGATCTCAATTGAATATTATTATGCATTCCTTCATGAATATAAGTACTGTTGGTCTGCATAGTGTTTTATGATCATGTTTGAAGAGTTGAGAGGTATCAAACTTCCTTCTGACACTTGTAATGCATATGTGACCCATTTTATATGGTTATACAAATAGCAGACAATTAAAAAGATTCTGCTAAGTTGGAACTTACGTACTAAAATAATTTTTGTCACAGTTGCTTCCCTCTCTCTTAATATTGAAGAAACAGCTCAAAAACCATATACTTAAGTCTCCTTTCCCTAATTCTATTACATGATTTTTTTACGGGAAAAGGTTCTGTCCGCCTGTAAATAACCCAGTCTGGTTGTAAAGGAAAGGGTAAGAGGAGAGGCAAATACATCTAGTACTTCTCCTGTTATGTTTTTGGAAATCTGTTTTTCATGAGTGTTACCATTCATCTGAAGAAATATTTCAAATACTTTTTCTAAAAAGATTTTATTTAAATTTAAACTTGTGTTCTAATTTTTTTTCCTGTGATGAAATTAAGAAGCAGTGTATCCTCTAATACTCGTGTTAAATATTTCACAAGGATTTACATAAAATTTTATTTCTATGGGACCTTAGCCTTAACTGTTAATGAGACTATGTAAATATTATCCAACCAGATACAACAAATAAAGACTTATTTGTTAATAGGTAAAATCAAAAAAAACTTTTCCAATATCAGTGTACATACATGTTGTGATAAAAGTATATTTTTCATTTTGTATCAAAACAATGATTTACTGAGAATTAGGAGATTTTATATTTCAGCTTAAAAGGGCCCTGGAAGAACTTCAGGAAGCACTTGCAGAAAAAGAAGAACTGAGGCAGAGATGCCAGGAACTGGATATGCAGGTGCAGAAAGAAACCTGATCTAAGAAAGTTCCCTTTTTAAGTGTACGGGGGTTTAATTTTAATTAAGTAATTAGCAAAATGTATTGGAGGTTGGGTTTCATTTCATAGAGGGCCCATTAAAAGACTGTATTATAGGTTTGAATATTCAAGCATGAATTTCATAATTATTTTTCTCTTAGAGTTGAAAATTACTGGCTTAACTACTTCTTTGCAAAGATCATTCTAATTGTAGAATTTTAACTACTGTATTTGTATGAGGTCTTAGATCTTTCTTTTGTAAGAAGGTGAAATTAAAGTATCTACTTCATAGGGTGTGAATGTTAAGTGAGGTGATTGATGGAAGTACTTAGAAGTGCTTGAGCCCCCAATAAATGTGAGTGTCAATTTTGTTTTGCTAACATGTATGTGTTAATTCTTGTGTTCATCTGTACATGTATGTTAGCAGAGTAAACTTGGTATGAGAGATAGTAGCTAGTTAATGGTTAAAGACGTAGATTTTCTTTTTTTCTTGTTAATCCTCACCCAAGGATATTTTTTCCATTAATTTTTTTAAAGGGAGTTGGGGGAGTTGGGTGGGGAGAGAAACATCGATGTGAGAGAGACACATCAGTTGGTTGCCTCCCTCACATGCCCTGACTGGGGTATTGAACCTGCAACCAAGGTAATTGCCCTTGACCAGAATTACACCCGTGACCCTTCAGTCTGTGGGCTGACGCTCGAACCACTGAGCTAACCTGGCTAGGGCAAAGAGGTAGATTTTCAAACCAGGCCACCTGTATTCAGAACCTGGCCATGTTACTAGCTGGTTATAACTTCTTAGGCAAATCGCTTAATTTCTCTATAATTATCTCTTGAGAAATGACATGATAATCGTGTATATCTCTCAGCAATTATGAGGATTAAATGAGTTAATATACATGAAACACTTAGAACAGGGCCTGGCACATAGCACTGTGTGTGTGTTTGTATATGTATATGATTGCTATTATGTGAAGTTGCATATGTGGAAATTATGTAGTAAGTCTTAAAACTACACAAAAATTTAAGTGTACATCATAATATGCCTTGAATACACTCTGGGAAGTTACAGACATTGTCTTCCAAATGAGAAATGCAAAAGTCTGGGAAACTGTCCCAGGTGGATTATAGAAGGAAACAGTTCTCTTCCTAAATTCAGTGCATATATCTCCTTGTCATGAAAGCAGTAAGTTTCTATTAACCTGTGAAGTACACTCCTAAGTGGCTGAGATACAGAAAAGAATATGAGTTTGTGCCCTTAAGATTCTTATAGTAGAAATGTAAACAAAAGTTCATTTTAACATATAGCATATTATGATGGTTCAGTCTCAATGTACAAATAAATTTAATTCAGATTTTTGTTATTGATTCATTAAATAATGTACTTGTGCCCTGAAGACTTGATGTGTAACTGATAATTTTCTACTATGAACTAAAATGATAACTGCATATACCAATGTATTTTGGCTTACCTAGGTAATAGTATCCTACAAATAAATTTGTGACTAAAATGGGAACAAATTAATTTTTCGCAATTCATTTGTATCTCAAATTTTTGGGACTTAAAAACACTTTCATCTTAGAGCCAAGGCAAGCATAAAATTTTGGAGATATTCTCCTTATATGTATATATATGTCAACTCTATTTTCTATATATTAGTTGAATTTAATTTCTCCTGTTTGACCGGAACCTCCTAGAGAAAGAATTCCAGAGTTGGAAGGATCCTTAGAAATTATCCTGCCCAAGCTAATTTAATGGGTTAGTCAGAATTAGAATCCAGAACTCTGGACTCCAAGCTTTTTTGTTATTGATGCTTATGTTTGTGTATTTGGGTTTTTTTTAGGTGACTGCACTTCAAGATGAAAAGAATTCACTGGTTTCTGAGAATGCGATGATGAATGAAAAACTTGACCAGTTGGATGGATCTTTTGATGATCCAAATACAATGGTTGCAAAAAAGTTTTTCCATGCACAGTTACAACTAGAACAATTACAGGAAGAAAACTTCAGGTAGCATTTTTAGTAGAAATCATTCTATAAAGTTTTATTAAACTGATAGCTAAAAATCATATCAACAACTAATTGTGTTAGAAGGCATGTTTAGAACACTGATTAAGCTACTGAAAATACCAACTGGTATAAGTGATTCCTGCCCTCACAGGGCTTTTAATCCAGTTAGGCAAGGGGATACACATACATAAAAACAGACAATTCAAAATAATGTGATAAGCACCTAATGAAGGTCACAGGCAAGTCCACTGGAGTTTAAAGGAGTGATTGCTGAAGCCTAGTAAGAATGGAGAATTTCTTACATAGTAGAGGGAACTTGATGATATATGGGAAAAAATGTAAATCTGATACTAAAGAGATGCTTTTCATTTTTACTTTTACATTTCTTCTTTTTTAAAGAAAGTGTACATTTCATTTTTAGTTAACATTGATGGTCTCTTGCATGCTTGCTTCTGAGCCTTGCACTGTGTGGCCTCAAGAGCAGGCACTCTAGTTAAACTGGATGTGTTCTTTTTGTTACTTTGTTTGGATATAATTTCAAAATTACAGAAAAAGTTGCAAGAATAGTACAAGGAACTCCTTTATACCTTTCACTCAGATTCAATTACTTTACAGTTTTTCTCTCCATTTATTTAGAAGTGTCTCTACATGTTCATATAGATAAACATTTTTTTTCCTGAACCATTTGAGAGCAAGTTGGAGTCATGCCCCTTTATCTCTGTATGTTTTGGTATGCCTTTCCTAAGAATAAGGACATTCTCTTATAAATGCCAGTGTAATGATAAAAATTAGGAAATTTGTCAGTGATACAGTATTATTATCCAATCCATAGATCATACTCAAATTCTGTCAGTTGTCTCAATGTCCTTTATAGCTATTTTTTTTTTCCTGATTCAGAATCTAATTTAGGATCATGCAATACATTTAGTATGGATTCTTAGTGTACTATAAACCCATTTCTGTTATTTATTTTAATGCTCAAATTGTTTCAGATTTGTCCACCCTGCGTCCTTTAAGTATGTCACTATCCTTCTCTGAGCACTTTTTTCCTTTCTGGCACAATGAATGTTCCAGACTTATCTCCTCCTCTCCCTTTCCCAATTCTGGAATCAGCTATTTCTCCAGGGTGCCCTGATTCCTTTTAGTGGAGAATGTTATTTAGAAACAAAGATCTATGCTCCTGATGGATTTTTCTGTTACTGCTCCCAGGCCACTGTGGTGTACAGAGTGAGGGGATACACTTGCACAGTTTCATACTTGCCCATGTTCACACACTTTTGTATTCATATATCTGCATTTTTTATGTCTATAATTTTGAAAAATGAGTTTATATTGACCTCTCTTACTTTAGTCCATTGACTTCAGTGTCCATTCTAATTTCCATTTTGATATGGTAACTTCTAACAGTGAGAAACCTGGCTTACATTTTCCTCAGTATACTTCAAAATACACAAAGTAATTTAAGAATTGCTAATGCATGCCTCTGTAAAAAGCAAGCTAATAATAGACTTCAGTATGTTTACAGTTCTTTTTACAAGATAACATTTACATATTGTGAAATGAGTAAATACTGAGTACAATTGGCATGTTCTGACAAATGCCTACATTTGTGTATCTCACACTTTTATCATAGGATAGGTCATTTCTGTCACTACAGAAAGTTTCCTTTTGCTTCTACCCAGTGACTCTGTACCTCTCAGAACTAATTACTCTTCTGATTATTTTTCACCATGGATTCTTTTTCTCTCATCTAGAACTCTCCATGCAAACTGAATCATGCAATGTGAACTCTTCAATGACTGATTTCTTCTGTTCAGCATATTTATGAGATTTACCCATGTTGTTGAATGTATCAGTAGCTCATCATTTTTTTTATTGCTGAGTATTATTCTATTATATGGAATTATTCCACATTATATCACATTTTGTTTATCCATTTTCCTTTAGATGGGCCTTTGGGTTTTCAGATTTGGGCTAATATAAATAAAGCTGGTATGAACATTGGAATATAAGACTTTTTGTAAACATGTTTTCAATTCTCATTGACAGATGCATAGAGTGATATTGCTGAGTTACACAGCAGGTCTAAAAGATACTGGTAAAACATTTTCCAAAGTGGTCATACCATTTTACATTTCCACTGGCTATGTTTGCAGCTAGTTGCTCTACTTGCTCTGCCTGCATGTGGTCTTACCAGTCTTCTTAACTGTAGCTATTCCAGGAAATGTGTTAGGATATCTAATTGTGGCTTTAATTTGAATTCCTGATAATTGATGGGATAAGCCCCTTTTCGTGTGCTTATTGGCAATATGAATTGTCTTTTCACACAGATAGCCTATTTTTAAATTGGGTTATCTTATTATATGGAATCATAGGAGTTTTAAAAACATATATTCTGGATATAAATCCTTTGTCAGATATACGTAATGTTTCACCTGCTCTGCGGTTTCCCTTTTCATTTTTTTAATGGTGTCTTTAAAGGTTCTTAACTTAGATGAAGTCTGATTTATCAATATTTTGAAGATTCTTATCTTTTGTGTACTGTCCCAGAAATCTTTGTCTACTCCCATGTCATAATAGTTTCTAGTATTTTCTTCTAGAACCTTCATAGTTTTCTCTCTCACATGTAGGTCTATGGTCTATCTTGAATTGATTTTTGAAAATAGTGTGAGGTGTGGAGGTCAAGCTTTATTTTCCTCTAAGAACTGGTTTAGCTGTATCCCCAAAACTTGATCAGTTTTATTTTTATTATTCAGTTTGAAATATTTTTCTAATTTTCTTTGTGATTTCTTCTTCGACTCATGGGTTATTTAAAAATGTGTTATTTCCCAGCATTTAAGGCTTTTTTAGATTTTTTAATGTGACTGATTTCCAAATTAAATTTCTTGTGATTGGAGAACATATTCCATGAGATTTCAGTCTTCTAATATTTTTTCAACCTTTTTTATTGCTCATTGTATGTTTTATTGTGGTCAGTGTTCCATGTGTACTTGCAAAGAATGTGTGTTCTGTAGTTTTTGACTGACATGTTCTGTAAAGGTCAATTCCATCAAGCTGGTTAATAGTGTTATTCAGATCTCTTCTATATTTTTACTGATATTTTTGTTCAGTTCTATTATTTATTGGGAGACCAGTGTTAAATTTTCAGCAATGATTATGGATTTGTGGATTTCTACCTTTGATTCTGTCAGTTTTGCTTCATGTATTTTAAAACTCTATTTTAGGTATATATACTTTATGATACCTTTCTCTGATGGATTAAACCTTTTATACTTATGAAATATCTATTTTTGGTAATGCTTTTTGTCTTAAAATTTATTGTTTTATATAAACAACCACCCCAGCTTTCTCTGCTTACTGTTTGCATGGTTATTTTTTTTATCTGTTTACATTTAATTTATCTGTGTCTTTATATTTAAAATGTTTCTTGTAATTAGGATATATGTGAGTTTTGCTTTTTTATCTAGTCTGATAGTCTCTGCCCTTTTAATTGACTTGTTTAGTCCCTTTTTGTCTATGTAATTTTTGATATGGTTGTATTTAGGTATATCAATATACTGTATTTTATTTGTCAAATCTATTCTTTTGTTCCTTTTTCTTCCTTTCCTTCATTTTTGGGGGTTGATCAAATAATTTTTTAATATTTAATTTTAATCATTGTATTGTCATTTTAGTTTTTGTGTTGCAGTAGGGTTTGAAGTATTTATCTGTAATTTATCCTAGTCTACTAAGAGTTAATATTTTACCACTTTACATGCTATGTATATTTTTGAATAATTTTAACATATGTCTACACAGTTCTCTTTATCTTTTGAAATTAAATTCCTGCTTGAACTAGAGGTAACCAAACACAATGTTTCAGAAGTGAAAATGAAAATTCAGAGCATTGTTTACTTCTCAAGTCTATTTGAAAAGCAAGAATCCCAAAGTATCTTATTTCAGTCTTGCTTCTTTGAATGTGGGAAAAAAAAAAATTAGAAGTAAGTCTTGCTAAGCTCATGTCTCAGTAAGAAAGTAAATGATGGAAATGATGAGTACTTATTTGTTTTCTTTATATAAGGCTTGAAGCTGCAAAAGATGATTACCGTGTTCACTGTGAAGAACTTGAAAAGCAACTAATTGAATTTCAGCATAGGAATGATGAATTGACTAGTCTTGCTGAGGAAACAAGAGCCCTGAAAGATGAAATTGATGTCCTTAGGTATGGCATGTCTAAATAGAATTATGTCACTTCTAAGTTATTATTTACTCATTTTAGCATTCTATATTTTAATCAGGGGTTCTTAGAGTTACCCCTGTGTATAGAAGATTTATCAGTTTTTATCCAGGCTCCTAGTCTTTACTTCTTTAATGCTTGTTGATGATAATTGCAATTTAAGGATAATATTCAATTCTTCTTAGGATAATTTTATATTAGAACTTGTAAGCCTAAAGTGATAATTTTTTAAAAAACATTTTATAAGCTGTTACTTTTAGGTACATTTAGCTTGACTTCTGCCTACTCATTAGCCTGTGAAATTTTTAAGGAAATTCACTCTCACAATCCATATTTTGGCGTTTGGTAAAATAACTGATAAATATAGATAAGGATGCTCACATTTATTTCAGGATCATCCCAGGGTTCTCTTATTGTATTTGACAATATAAAATTTATATTTAGATTTTGCCCATGAACTGTTGCTCAAACAGACTATCCACATACTTTTTATATTTTCTGTTAAATTTTCTTAATTAACCATTTTGTACATTTTGCATAGTTTTTATTGTCCATTTAAAACAAAATCCTCGTAACCATTAATTTGAACCTGCATGTGAGAGTGAAGTGATTTGGTTTGCTTATTTATTTATTTTTGCTTTAGCCCAGTTGATCAGGTAAGCATAACTCTAAAGGGAAGTGCTTTATCAGACAAAATATAAGTTGAATCAACTTTCTAAGCATATCAGATACTCAAATGAAAGCTATACTAAATGTTATTTATGCACAAAGCACAACTGATCCATCGAAAGAGTAGCTCAGAATTGTCCAATTATATTTATAAAACCGTTCTCTTTTTATACAGTGTGCTAATACTTGGAACAGTTTGATGATTTAGTGTGCCAAATTGGGAACCTTTTTTTAATGCCTTTGGAACAGAATGACTGAACTATAGACAGTTTGAGGCCTGAGTCTGGTTCTAAAGTTCTCACAAAATTTATTATTTCTCTCTCATTTTCTCTTTCTCTCTTTCTTTCATTCTTTTTTCTTTCCCAATTGAGAGTGTATTTTGAAGACTCATTTTACAGCCAGAAGAAAATTATATGCATTTACTATTTTTTATTATAGGGCTACCTCTGATAAAGCAAATAAACTGGAGTCAACAGTTGAGGTATATCGTCAGAAGCTACAAGATCTGAATGACCTTCGCAAGCAGGTGAAAACTTTACAGGAAACAAACATGATGTATATGCATAATACAGTCAGCTTAGAAGAAGAGTTAAAGAAGGCAAATGCAGCACGTACACAATTAGAAACATACAAGAGACAGGTAAGAAAATCTTAATTTTTTTAATCATTGAAATAGAAAGACCTCAACTTTGTTATTCCATTTGATGCTTTAAGAATGGCATAGCAGTGAAGAAACATTGTCTGTAGTCAGCTGTGAACGTACGATACATTTCTTCTGTGTATAATTTGAATTCAAGAGTTGATAATTAAGTTTGTGTTATCTAGGTCTTTTACATTTTTATTGGCTCTGAGTTTATATATTTTGGGACAGTTTATTGTTTATTAAGATTTCTGGTAACCAGTGATAAAAGCCTAGATAATGGAACTGTAACCTAAAATATTTTGTTTTGTCATTTATCAAATCCATAGAAACAGTAGAAAGCTGATTGTGTTTTTTTGTCCAAATTGTTACTTGGGTATTTTAAAATTTTTGTTAATTCTACTAATCTACATGACATTTCCACAAATATTTAGAATTAACTGTCATCTTACTGTAATTTTATTTATAATCAGTTTCTCATTTATTGAGCTCTGAAATCAAATTACCAATGTCATATAGTCTTGTGTTTTACTTTTGTTTCTGACAAAAGGTTCAGGATCTACACAGTAAACTTTCCTCTGAATCCAAAAGGGCAGACACACTAGCATTTGAAATGAAACGGCTTGAAGAAAAACATGAAGCTTTACTTAAGGAAAAAGAGGTAAATATATAATTGAAAAGTAATATGTCTTTCTGCCTTTAGATTTTAATATTTTAATAGAAGTGATATCAACCAGTTCTTCTATCCTTCTTCAAAGTGAAAGTGTTGGTGTAAAAGAAAGTCTTGTAAAAATTCTTCATGCAGTTTTGATAGTTTTCTTCACAAGGGAAGATCAAGTGACAGAGCTAAGGTCATAAGTCTTGGTTTAATGTTTTTCAACTCCTTCAGAGTGAGGACCATAGCTGTGATTTTTAACAGCTTTATTAAGATGGAATTTACATACTATAAATTTTGCCCACTTAAAGTGTACAATTCAGTGGTTTTTAGTATATTCACAGAGTTGTGCAGCCATCACCAGAATCAAATTTTAGAACATTGACATCACTCCAATAAGAGCTCCCATGCCCATTAGTAGTTACTCTGCATTCTGGTCCCCCTCCCCCCAGCCTTTGCAACCAGTAATCTGCTCTCTCTATAGATCTGCCTAGCCTATCTAGGATGTCGTCATACACTTGGTAACTTTGTGACTTGATTCCTTAGTTATCATAATGCTTTTAAAGTTCATCCATGTGCTTCATTTTTACTGCTGAAAATACTCCATTGTATGGATATACCACACTTTATCTGTTCATCAGTTTATGTACATTTGGGCTATTTCCACTTTTTTATTATTAAACAGATAATGTGGCCATGAACATTTATATACAGGTTTTTTTATTTGGATTTTCTATATGCAGGACATCTGCAAATAGGAATAGTTTTGTTTCTTGCTTTGCGCTCTGAATGCCTTCTTTTTCTTCTTCTTATCATATGTTCCTGGCTAGAACCTATAGTGTATGTTGAATAGAAGTGACAAGACTGGCCATCATTCTCTTGGTTCTGACATTAGGGAGAAAGTATTCATTGTTACCATTATGTATGTTTTTAGTCGTTGGGTTTTTTTGTAGACACCCTTTATGAAGTTGAGGAAGTTTCTTTTATTCCTGGTTTGTTGCATGTTCTTATCATGAAAGGGTGTTAGATTTTGTTATATGCTTTTTCTGGGTCATTGAGATGATATATGATTTTTGTCTTATATTGTATTAATGTGGCTACTTATTAGTATGGTTAATAATTACATTGGTTTTTAGATATTAAACCACAAATTCATACTTCCAGAATGCTACTTATCACTTTTTTCAGTAGAATTTCACACCAGTGATAAAAAGAAATAACAAGTCTCCAGTATCTCTTACATACAAGACTCTATTCTGCGTACTTGACAAACCCTACCTTATTTGTTGCTCAAAACACTTTTGCAAGGGTTTGTATATGTCCATATTCCTGTTTTAATGATGTGGCTACTAAAGCCAGCGAGTCACATCTCTTACCCTAGATAATATAGGTAGGAGTGAGTGAAAGTGGAATTCAAGCCATGATCTATTTGCCTCTAAAATCAATGCTTTTTCTGTTACTCTGCAGTTGTATATTTACTGCAGTTGTATATGTACTCTGTTGCATAGTTATGTTCATTTGTTTCAGAGACAAACTATCTAATGGGGGAACCACAAGCTTTGTGTTACACAAAGACTATATTATTTATGTGATTTATACAAGAGAAAATACCCCTTAGCACTCAAACTAAAACATTGCCATTTCTAATTAAGCCACAATTATCAAATTAACTTATTAAGATAAATTATTGTAAGCATAAAGTGCACCTCCTGTAGACAGAATTAAAAATTGTGCTTGTATGAACAATTCTTTTGTTAGAGACTAATAGAACAGCGTGATACTCTGAAAGAAACGAATGAAGAGCTTCGATGTTCACAGGTACAACAGGATCACCTAAACCAAACAGGTAAATTTCGTTGGATTTAGAAAATTTTTTTTAATGGTAGAGATTCTGAAATACTGATCTATTTCGTTGTTGTTTAGATGCATCTGCTGCAAAAAGTTATGAGAATCTTGCTGCTGAGATTATGCCAGTGGAATATAGGTAAATTTGTTTTTATTAATTGATAATCCATACTTAATATTAGAAACGTGATTTCTTTTTTGTTTTGTAAATTTCTTAGCCTCTAAAACTTTCCATTTTGTGAGTCATATTGCTCAAAATTACTTTATCTCATCTGCTTAAACTTTTCTCAGTCAGATTGTTACTGCTATTTATAGCAGTTTTAAATTTATTAGAAGTAAAATTTCACAAACTAGCTAAATGACATACTCTAGTTTTTATAATATGACCTGTATTGTGATGAACTTTTTTTCCTATCCTTAAACTGTATGGAAAATTTTAATATATGACATTCAAACCCAGATGGTAAAAAGAAAAGGAGAGGAACTGTCAATAATAGCAGGAGGATTAAGGAGAAGTTAGATAAAATACAAATTTTAGAGGTTCCTCTTGACCCAACTTTTTTCTTGGTATTTTACTGCTATGTTTACTTACAAACATTTGACTAATCTGGTATTTTTATGGTTTTCTTTTCCTTTCTGTGGTGACAGCTTTATTTATTTAGTAGTTCAAATTCTACACTTTGTTTAAATGGCTTTATTGAGATATAATTCACCTATTTTAAAAAATGTAAAATTTGGTGGTTTTTAGTATAGTCACGAATTATGCAACCATCTTTGCTATTGAATTTCAGAACATTTTTATCCCCCCAAAGATATCCTATGCATATTAGCAGTCGTTCCCCATTCCTCCCTCCCCTCTATGTCCATACCCAGGCAACCAGTTATTTACTCTTTGTCTCTATTGATATACCTTTTATGGACATTATATATACATAGAATCATACAATATGTGGCCTTTTGTGACTTCTTTCACTCGGCATCATGTTTATAAAGTTGCTGATTTTTAGTTCAGTTTTTGGTTAAGATAGAGTTCGTTATATGCTGGACTGGAAACCAATTGTACTTTTTAGTTGTTAGTATCTAGTGACATTAATATCATTTTTTAAAATGGCCATATGAGCCTAGTTTTTAAAGTTACAGTGCTAGCATTCAGAAGAATATAAATTGAAATTGATTGATAGTAGTTGTTTTTGGGGAATGGGAGTTAGGAGGGCAGCAGGTAGATGAGCTAATGTTACTTTTTTATTTAATAACATTTCTATCATTTGCATTTAAAAAACATGTATATAAACCTTTAATAAATTTTTTCTCTAAAAACAAAAAAATCTAGAGAGAATCATGACTGCCATTCTCATAAAAGTATATTTAAAAATTGTAGGCAAACTAGTTTCTTAAATCTGTTGCTTTTCCTTTACATATTTTTTAAGGATATGCTCTATATTAGCTTTAGTGAGTAGTATCTAAATTATCAAATTAAAATTATTGTGTCAGGAATTCGCATAATAAACATTTAATGATATGTAGCATAATCTTACACCTGTACCTTACAAAATTTACTATTTTTTTTTTTTGAGATATAATCTTACAATGTACATAGTGTTTTCTTTAAAAACTTTCAGAAGCTTTGGTAACATTTTTAAATGACAGCTCTTGAGTGGACGGAAATATCTTTGTTTAGAAAGTTAAGAATGTAAAAACTCTTACATTTAAAAAATTTAAAAACAAATTTTACTTTTCACCATCAGAGAGGTATTTATTCGACTGCAACATGAAAATAAGATGCTTCGCTTACAGCAGGAAGGTACTGAGAATCAGCGTATTGAAGAACTTCAGGAACAGCTAGAACAGAAGCATCGCAAGATGAATGAACTAGAAACTGAGCAAAGGTGACACGCTCCTTCATAATGAATGAGTCATGGTGATTTAATTACCTAACCACAAAATCTTGATTCACAGAGTGGAAAATATTATTGTAGTTAAAATTACTAAGATTTTTAGAAGAAGATTAATTTTTTGTTGTTTTTAGTCTCTCTACTTATTACTTTTAGCAGACTCTGTTAACCAGGTTGCTTATCCTTGAATTTTGTTTTTATCTCTTTGCAATTGATGGAAAATATAACAAATGAATAAATGACAATCTGGCTTTCTACTGCAGTCTGATGCATAGATGGGACATAGATTTTGGAATCAAATTTGAATCCCATGTCGTCTTAAACTTACTAAATATTTGGTTCTGAGCAAATTACTTTAATTCACACTTGGTGTTCTCAGCTATAAATTTGAGATGATACGTATTTGTAGGTTATGAAGATTATAGATCATGTCTTTAAGCAAATGGTATACTGACCTGATACCAATGAGAGGTATTCAAAAATTATAATGTTAAAAAAAATATGACATTTATATAGTGCTTACTATATGCCAGGCACATTTCTAAGCACATTTTGGCATTAACTTAGTAAATCCTCATAATAACTCTATGAAGTAATAAGTATGATTATCACTTTTTTATGGATAAGGAAGCTGAGGTACAAGGAGGTTAAAAGTAAAGTAACTTCCCCAGTTACACAACTGGTAAATTCTGGATCCTACGTTTGACCCTCTGTCAGTGTGATTCCTGATTCTGTCCTCTTAACCATTATGCTAACCTTCCCCTTATAAATAGCATACTTGGAGTAAAGGTATTTAAATTTATTTGATCAACCTTTATTGGATTTTAGAGATCACCATAAACCTAAGAGATGCTTGAACCTTGTCTTTCGTACTTGTATGCACACAATACATCAACTGCGGTTAAATGAAGAATAATGTTTTGACTTTCTGAAGAGATCATTAAATATTACTGTCTGATACAGTTCAATATCAGTTGACACTGGAGATACTAGAGAGTTAAAATAGGAAGAGTTAATATAGGAAGATAGATGTATCAATGGATAATTATTATATTATGTGATAACTACATATGTATATATGAAGAGAGAAAGACAGATACTCTCTCGCTGGTGACTTCCAACTAAAGTAACTTTTAAGCAGGGTTTTAAGGAATGAAATTATGGCAAGTTAAAAAATCTACATTAGTTGCCAGTGCCAATCTCTTTAATTTAAATAACAAGTCATGAAGAAATGTTTTGAAATAGGTGACCTTCCTCTTCTAATACACTGTAAAATCTGAAATAGGAAAAAGAAACCTAGTTTCCATTCATTAAAAAATACAACTGTAGGAAAATTGAGCTAGTACAGTTTAGAAATGTTGTATTTTCACCACTGATGTAAAGTACCTTAAATTTTAAATTTGTAGGTATATATGCTTTCAGGATATATTAAATATTTCCTTGAAAGTCTTATTAAATATTTCCTTGAAAGTAGCCTCCTGTATATTACTATATATTATACCTAGCCATAGAACATTGTTTGGCATCTGTTATTGCTGTTAAATGCATATTTTATGAGTTAAATTGTGTAAATTCACCCTTATAGATCCTTAACTGCTTTGACTTTCAATACAAATAAACACATGATTTATCTTAAAAAAATAGACTGAGCAAAGAGCGCATCCAAGAATTGCATCAGCAGATTGAGGATCTCCAGAAATCTTTACAGGAACAAGGCTCCAAGTCTGAAGGAGAAAGTGTAAGTAACTTAAAAATTATAGTAATTCTGCTCTGTGGACTCTCTGGAATAGGGCCTGATGCCCAAATTATTCTTGTATTTTAAAGTGCTACCCTTATCATGGATGGTACCCTTAAATACCGTATATATCTGCATAGCAGATGCGGCGATTTTGCCAATTTGGAGCCTATAAATTGATCACATATAGGGGAAGGTGCTTTCTATCTGTCCTACTTCAACAGCCATACTAAGTTCATGGTAATTCCTGATTGAGAGTATGCTGCATTTGAGGCCTTCCCACTTCTGCTGGAACCCCAACAGGGCTGGCCGGAGAAAAGTGCTAGTGAGTGTAAACATCAGCCAGAATTGAGGAAAACGTCTAATAAGAGAGAATGAGAAAATGATTTCTACCAAAAGAGCAGTTAAGAAGTGTTTTATACCAACCTCCAAAGACAGAAACCTTAATGCAGTCTTGAAAACATTGCCCCTTATTTCTTGCCACCTTCCATACTGACTCCTGATCTTGCCATTTCTAATGGATTTTGATAGCACATATTTTAAGGGCAGAAATAAGAGGACTTAAAACAGCCCAAATATACTTAGCAGTGTTCCGATAGTTTGATCTCTATATAAAGAAGGGAAGATAAGTAATAATTGAGGGAGGGATGTATTTAAGACAGCAGCAAAAAGATAGGGCTAATTGTGTGTTAGGTAGACATTGATTTGATGGAATGGTACGTGATTGTACCTGTGTTGATGGGGGAGAATACTAAGGAGAATAAAGAGATAAAAAGGAAGATTGAAAGGGTTACGTTTCCTTTCTGTCGTTTTTATGCTTTATGTGATTTTTTCTTTTTTCCCTGGGGGCTTGGAAAATAGAAATCGTCTCATGCATGGCGGCATCTCATATGTGCATATATACGGTATTGTAACTTCTCTAATACAAATATATTTTTAAGGTATACTAGGGAATAATTTCCAAATGGGATCTATTTGGAGGAGTACATTTTGGATTGCAGTGTTTTAAAGATTTTAAATTTCTTTATATTTAAAAAAATTGTGTTTGTATCCAAATTATTTTTCAAATTATATATTTTTAAATTCTGCAGCTATTTGTATATGATACAGAACTACTATTGCAATTTAAATTCCTGTTTTTTTAAAGAGGAAATTTTATGTTTTGAATTTTCTTTATTAACAAAATTTAATTGCTTCACTTTGATGTTAGTATTAAAGTGTATTTATAATGATAAAGGTTTATTGTAAAGATAATTTAGTTCTTTAAGTCATTCCTCATTAAAGGCCTAAAATCTTAAAAACTATATTTTAAATATATGATTCTTTAGGCATTTACGTGTTTGATACTCCTCCATATATGACATTTAGCTTGCATTTTCTATTTTTCCTGAAGGTCAAATTTTATTTGCATTGTATTCAGAAATATGAAGGTTTTTTTTTCCCTGCTATTGTGCTCTTATTTCATTTCCCTTTGAAGTGAAAAACACCTAACATTTTATGTTTTTAAAAGTTTGTTATTAGAAATACACATATTCAGCACATTTATAATTTTAAATAATACACCTTCAAAAGGAGGTAAAGAGATTCTGTTGTCTGGAAAATTTATCTTTGCCACGATAGTTATTTTACAGCAACTGTTTTTAATTTTATAGTCCAGCAACCTAAAGCAGAAGTTGGAAGCTCATATGTAAGTAAAACTGATACTTCATTTCAAATATGAAAGGGGACGAGTTTTAAAAGGGTCTAAAGTTAATATCCTTTTCTGATTTTGTTTATAAAAGCAAATACCCTGATATCAATTGAATGTTCACCACTGTCACCAAAAAACGAAAAGAAAAACATGCTGAAAGGTTCAGCCTGCCTACCAATGACCCCAGACTCCCACATTTTTCACTTACTAATGCCATTTGAAGAGTTCACAAAGCTGGCAACTATCACTACTAGATTATGTGGAAATGTAGGATGTTTGTCCTATAAAATATTTCTTTTAATTTTCTTAGGAAGCAAAGATGTAGGGAATAATTTCACATTTTTGGCACCTACCATGTGCCAGCCAGTTTATATCCTCACAACAAGCCCTATAATATTTGGCAGGTATTATTCCCATTTCACAGGTGAGGAAAGTAAGGATCAAAAAGTGATGAGCCCACAGTCCACAAATGTTACGTGGCAGAAACCAGTTTCATTCTTAGTTCTGTTTGGCTCCAAAGTTCCTTGCTCTTCTTTCTGCTGCTTAGGGAAAAACTAACAGAGGTCCATGAAGAATTACAGAAGAAGCAAGAGCTCATTGAAGACCTTCAGCCAGATGTAAACCAGAATGGTAGGTATTTGTAAAAACCTGGATCTAAGGACTTGCCCTTTTAGTTGACAGATACAAGAACTATGTATAAGTCTTTGCACAAAGCATATATACATACATTGCAAATAAGTACTGTGATAATTTTTAGTAATTTAAGTAATTAATAAATCTAATCTTAATGCAAAAAAGTAAGTCTAATAAAATGAACTGATTAATATGTAGGAGTATCAAACATTTTGAAAAGTAATACAATTAATACTATGAAAGTATAAAATAATGATTTAAAATCAGATTAAAATGAACTTTGAACATTACATAAAAAGAATGTTTTCTCATGATGGTTGTGCTTACATTGTAAGGTATATTTGCTCATCGAAATACTTGGTAGAAAGAAATAGCTAGATAAAGCAGATTATAGATATTTTTAAGAAAAATATATGAAATGATTGAGGGATGTATTGGTTTATGTAGTTCAAAAGTTTTAGATAAGAATTCACTACAAAGAATAAATAAAAGGTTTCTCTTTTAAGTTCTCTTATGAGTCCCTTGAAAATAAATGTGATAAATATATTTTTGTGTGTGAGGATGGAGTATTTTAAATAGAGAATAATTGGTCATGTTTTATTTCATTTTCAATAATAGCACAAAAGATCAATGAACTTGAAGCTGCTCTTCAGAAGAAAGATGAAGATATGAAAGCAATGGAGGAACGATATAAAATGTACTTAGAGAAAGCAAGAAATGTGAGTGACTTCTCTTACAGAGCTCAAGTCTCTATGACTCAGGTGCTAACTAGGGCTCTTCCACCTGATTGTATTGCTCTTTTTGTCTCTATATAATTTCACTTCCCTCCTCACTCCCCTGCCTTACCCATCACGCTTCTGGTGTGTTTCCAGGTCAATCCTCCCATTCTCTCCCTCTCCCTCTCCCTCATCAGCATCAGGTAAAACGAACACAAGGCTTACAGAAACAGTTTAAATGTGGACTGTAGTGACCTCATTAGAGAAACATTTTCCTAACTCATTAAATAATTTTAAATATTGTTAATGGATTTACAATTACCTCTTACAGTGACCTTATTATTGGAAACTTGTTTTTGCTTGTAATTTATTCCTGATGTTTCCAAGTTGATTTCTACATAGTTTAGCCAGGCCTCAGAACAATGCTATACTCAAACATCTGAGCTTTACTCAACTTTTAGTAATTTATATAAATGTGATTGGCACCCTAGTGTTTGCAGAAAAAAACACCAGTACCTATTAATATTGATCTTATATATTGAATTACTACATTTAACTAGATAATGATAGTAAAAAAGATTGTTGCTAAGAATTTTTTTTATGTATTACTTTGTACAGTCAACAATTTCCACTATAATTACTGAATTCATTTTAACTTTTAAAAAAATGCTCAAGTCAGATAAATATGGAAGGGGTTATTTCAAGACCTCAATGCTGAAAGTTTAACAAGGCCAAATAACTATCCCTGATTATTGAGCCTTGGAGAAGGGAAATTTGATTTTGGGATGGGTATCTTTTCATTTCTGTACTGAATTTTTATTCTGTTTTCATTTATAGAATAAGTTATTTTGTAATTCAAATTTAATTGTGAAACAAACTACAGTTAGCTGCTGGATCACTTTCTGGATGTTCCACTTATGCTGATTTTATGGACTATGTTCTTATATTTCAGCATTGATAAGGTAAAGTGAACATAATTCTTTTTTCTTTAAACAGGTAATAAAAACTTTAGATCCCAAATTAAATCCAGCATCAGCTGAAATAATGCTACTTAGAAAGCAGTTGGCAGAGAAAGAGAGAAGAATTGAGATTCTGGAGGTAAAGCTTCTATATTCACACATCTCCTCTTAAGTATTCTGCGTAATCCTGGTAATTAACTGCTGCCATGTATTTGCCAATAATGATCAAGTCTCACAAGAAGTTAGAAATATGCTGTTTTAGCACTGTGTGTGTTTTTACAGAGCATCTCACTAGCCCATGAGATTGGTCTCTGCAGTTGATGCACCCTGCTGCATTGTGTCTCCTCCCTCTGTAACAGCCAGTCTGTGGATATCCCTTTGTTTTTAATAGACTGCATTAGCATGCTCCTTTTAAAATTATGTGGATGAGAGTTCATTCAGAAAAAAAAGAGACCAAGCTCACTTTTTAAATAGGGAACTGTATTCAGTTAACCAAATTTATCTTATCTCTTCTCCCTGCTCCTCACTGGAACCCAAACTTATGAGGTGGAATTCCTGAGAGAGGGAAGCACTTCAGAATCCCAGTAAGCCCTTGAATAAAGCTGCAGTCTGTTACTCACCATGCAAAGTTATGTTGGTAGTAACATGCTCTCATTAGTTAGCTAACTCTGTAAATTTTAAAGTTATTTTTGTGTCAGTGATTATATTCTTTTCATGAGCTGTGTGAAGTATGTAGGTGTGGAATGGTGTATTCTTGGATTTATAATGGGCATGTTCTAATTTCCTTTGCAAAGTGTTTTATAAAATTAATGTTTTTAATACTATGGTGAGATTCGATACTATTCTTGAAGTCAGTGTATACTTCCTCATAATAACATGTGGGTAATTGCAGAGCCCTGTTGAATTCTATATACATGCCTTGAAATTCTCATAATGGATAGTTGGTTCCTATTTGCATCAACTTGGAATGCTTTATTTCAAAGAAACACATTATGTTCACTTACTCCTTTCTTCGAGTTATTTCTGAGCCAGTAGATATAGGCTGTGGTGAAAGTATTTTGTTTAAAGATTTAAAGACTTCAACATCCAGAATACACAACAGCCTTATGTGCACTTTCTATAAGTCTTGTTCTGGCCATGTCGGTTGTTTGATATGCACTGCTTAGGGGTATATCTCTGAGGAAGTGTTTATTCATTCTTGAACATCCAGCTCAAATGTCTCTTCCTCTATAAAGTGTTCCCTGTATTCCTTAGGCAAGCTTTCCTCCAAAGTTACTCCATGTACTTTAAACTCATGAATTCATCCCACAGAAGCATTGCTTATATTGTGTCCAGTGAATTGAGGCCAGAGGCTGTGTTTTATATCTCTACTCTCACCATTAAAGATTACATAAATCAGAGGCCAGGGTGTCAGCTTTAGGTGATTTATCTTAAAAGTGGCCCCCTTTCCTCTGTGGTCCTCAGTTTCCTCACCTGTAAAGTAATGAGACTTGGACTGAATCTCTGAAATCTAAGTTGCTCTGACTCTTCACTTCCCAGTAAAAGCCAATGAGAATGGACACCATTGCTGGTGCTTGAAATGCAGCTCCCTGACACGTATGGTGATAGAACGGGGCCTTTAACTCTAGACTCTGAGGAAAAACTTCAGTCACAGCATTTTGGTCTTTAATTTATGTGTATTTATCTGTACACTGAAAAAAGTAAAAAGGAGAAAAGTAATGTAAATGGCAGAGGTTATCCTATCTGCCATCTTTCTTGGGGAGTGTTTGCCTGGAGTGGGTGTGAGCCAGAGAAAGGCATTTTACCTCCCTCATTTCCTGTATGCTTTTTGTATCATCATCTTGCTGTGGGAACATTCAGATGTTTTAAGGATATAATTTTTTTTTTTATGAATCAACTATATCTGGTGTTCAACAAAATTATAAAATTAGCTGTATTAGAGTAATTAAGAAATGGATGTCATCCCCTAAGGTGGCATGTAACTATGGCCACAGGCAGTCTAGTCTACAGGTCATCAGAACTGAGGGATAAAAGTGCATGCCTGGCTTTTCATGGGGATGTAAAGGATTTCCTGGGATACTTATCACATCCTCTCTCTCCTTAGTTTTGACTCCTCAATAGGAGCAGCTCTGTTTTGTTACCTAAACCAGTTATTACTTTTTTCTTGATACAAAGGATAGCAGCATAAGAATCACTAGTTTCTAGGGTTTTTTTGGTTTTTTTGGTTGGTTTTTTTAATACCTGTTCTGCCAGTAAAATTCTTGAAATAAAGATTTAGTAGTCACTCTTACTCTTCTCTAAAACTGTTGTGCATTTCTCCATGATTCAGTTTACATTTTGACGATTTTATGTACCTCAAACTGCATTCATCAGATTCTCTCGATGAATATACGCAGAAATGATTCTATTTTTAGTAATTTGGAGTTATTTGGGGAATTTTAATCTTCATATCTTTTTCCAGAGTGAATGTAAAGTAGCAAAATTCCGTGATTATGAAGAAAAACTCATAGTTTCTGCCTGGTATAATAAGGTGAGTTGAAATTCAGCCTATGATTGGATGTTTAGAACTGTGTTTATCAAACACTTTGACCAGGAACCATTGATGGAAATATCTTTTATACCACAAATTAGAATATACACATTATATATGTAAACAACTAAATATTATATACACATAGTATATAGTCTAATAGTATAAAATAATTTTCTGCCACATTCTGTTGTTTTAAATGTTGCTCATAATCCAAATTGACTATATATTTTAGTTTAATGTGTTCAGTTAATTGTGGCTTTTTCAAAATTTTTGGATTGATTTCATGATTCATTGACCTTTAATTAATGCACACGAAGTACACACACAACAATCCATAAATATTTTTTAAATTGCATTATTTGAGCTATAAAACATTTTGTGTTCCATAAAACGTTTCTCTAGAAATGTGAATATCTGTGTAATGCAGAACTAAGTGCTTCTAGTAATCAACATTTATTTTAACATCCCCTGAAGCCTCTTACTGTGTCCTTTAATTTGTTTTGTTGTTGTTTTTAAATCCAGGGAATACTCTTCAATAGTTGTCCTAACAAGGAGAAAAATAGTATAAAATAATTTGAAATGTATTTTACTTTTTTACCCTTAATATCTGTAGAATGTTTTTAAGAAAAGTAGCATTTCATGATACATATGGTTCTTTTGGGTTATTCTAATCAGCCAGAATAGATAATAATGCAGCCACTGTCTACCTTAGGTGCTGCTTATTTAGTATGAGAGAATATCAGTTTATAGACCCCCCAATGCCTCACCACATAGAACTAGTTGTCCTTCTTCAGACATGCTTTGTTTCTTTTATGCTATCACATTTTTTTTGTCTGTGCTCTTTTCTTTCCTTTCTTTCTCTGTTTGGGAAAATCTGGCTTAATTTAGCAAGGCCTTGAATGAAATTACATGTGCGGTGTTTCCAGAATCTTCCATCATGGGTTAATCATCCTAGTTAATATCAAGAACTGTGTATTGCTTTCTTTGTTCTCCTGTGATTCCCCTTTTTTTTAAGGTTTATATATATTTTTAAATTTTTTCTATCGCCATTAATACCCCCATGCCCTCCACCCCCACCTACAGCGCTTCCCCCACACAGTCACCACAGTATCGTCCGTGTCCATGAATTCTTTCTCTTTTTTTCATTTTTGCTCAATCTCTCCACCTCCCCCCCATCCAGCTGTCCCCTTGCCGGGACTATTAGCCTGTTCTCTATGAATCTGTCCCTACTTTGCTTGTTAGTTCCGTTTGTTCATTAGATTCCACATAGGAGTGAAATCATATGATACTTGTCTTTCTCTGACTGGCTTATTTCACTTAAAATAATCCTCTCTAGTCCCATCCATTCTATCCCAAAGGGCAAAATGTTCTTTTTTACAGCTGAGTAGTATTCCACTGTGTAAATGTACCATAGTTGTTTTATCCACTCATGTACTGGTGGATACTTGGGCTGCTTCCAAATCTTGATGATTATAAATAATGATGCAATGAACATAGGGGTCATATATTCTTTCAAATTAGTGCTTTAGATTTCTTAGGGTATATTCCCAGAAGTGGAATTGCTGGGTCATAAGGCAGTTCCATTCTTATTTTTTGAGGTATCCCCAATACTGCTTTCTAGTGTGGGTGCACCAGTCTGCATTCTCATCAACAGTGCACAAGGGTTCCCTTTTCTCCACATCCTCATCAACACTTGTTGTTGACTTACAAATGGTAGCCATTATGACAGATGTAAGGTGATACCTCATTGTGGTTTTAATTTGCATTTCTTTGATGCTTAGTGATGTTCACATCTTTTCATATGTCTGTTGGCCATCTGTATGTCTTCTTTGGAGAAATGTTTATCCAGGACCTTTGCCTATTTCTTAATTGGATTGTTTGTTTTTTTGGTGTTGAGTTTTATAAATTCCTCATAAATTTGGGGATTAACCCCTTATCACATGTATTGGCAAATATGTTCTCCCATTTGGTGGATTTTCTTTTCATTTTATTGATGGTTTTCTTTGCTGTGCAGAATATTTTTAATTTGATGTACTCCCTCCCATTGTTCACTTTTTTTTTTTGTTTCCCTTGCCCAAGGAGATATATCAGAAAAAATATTGCTACAAGAAATGTCTGAGATTTTACTGCCTATGTTTTCTTCTAGGATTTTTATGGTTTCAAGTCTCAACATTTAAGTCTTTTATCCATTTTGAGTTTATTCTTGTGTCCACGTGGTGTAAGAAGGTGGCCTAGTTTTGTTGTTTTGAACATATCTGTCCAATTTTCCCAACACCATTTATTGAATAGACTGTCTTTAGCCCATTGTATGTTTTTGCCTCCTTTGTCAAATATTAGTTGACTATAAAGGCATGGGTTTATTTCTGGGCCTTCTGTTCTGTTCCATTGATTTGTATGTCTCTTTTTATGCCAGTACCATGCTATTTTGATTACTATGGCCTTGCATTATAATTTGATGTGAGGTAGCATGATTTCTCCAACTTTGTTCCTCTTTCTTAAGATCGCCATTGCTATTCAGAGTCTTTTGTAGTTCCATATAAATTTTGGAATATTTGTTCTAGTTCTGTGAAATATGCCATTGGTATCTTGATAGAAATTGCATTGAATCTGTAGATTGCTTTGGGTGGTATGGACATTTTAATGATGCAAATTCTTCCTATCCATGAATACAGTATATGTTTCCACTTATTTGTATCTTCTTCAATTTCTTTCTTCATTGTCTTAGAATGTTCTGAGTACAGGTCTTTTACATCCTTGGTTAATTTTATTCCTGGGTATTTTATTCTTTTTTAAGCAATTGTAAATGGAATTGTTCTCTTAGTTTCCCTTTCTGATAGTTTATTATTTGTGTATAAAAATGCAACTGATTTCTAGATATTTATTTTATATTCTGCTTCACTGAATTCATTTATTAGTTCTAGTAGTTTTTTGGTGGAACCTTAGTGTTCTCCATATACCGTATATGTCACCTGCAAATAATGACAGTTTTACTTCTTCCTTTCCAATTGGGATGCCTTTTATTCCTTCTTCTTGTCTGATGGCTGTGGCTAGGACTTCCAGTACTATGTTGAATAAGAGTGGTAAAGGCATAAATCCCTGTCTTGTTCCCAATCTTAAGGGGAATGCTTGTAGTCTTTCCCCATTGAGCATGGTGTTAGCTGTGGGTTTGTGGTTTATGCCTGGCAGGGTGTGGTGCCTGCAGATATCTCTCTATGGATATGCTGCTTGTGAAGCTTATTGGATTTATTCTAGTTCTGTGAAATATGCCATTGATATCTTGATAGAAATTGCATTGAATCTGTAGATTGCTTTGGATAGTATGGATATTTTAATGATGCAAATTCTTCCTATCCATGAACACAGTGTTCTTTTGCTGCTCTATTGTTGTCTGACGCTGGCCATGGATGTATTGGTTCTGGGCCTATTCGGAGGGACTGTGGTGCAGGCCAGTGTCAGATGCTGTCTGTGACTGGACCTGGGCAGCCTGTTTGGAGCTATCAGAGATCCACAGCTTGTGGCTCCCTCTGCTGGACCTGGGTGTGTTCTGAAAGCACCAAGCTGCACACCAAGTCCGGCTTTTACCAGTGCCTGGCCTGTGGCAGGTCAGCAAATGTCTAAAAGCACTGAGAGATCCACCTCCACCTGTAGGCTGCCTGTTAGGCTTAGTCACTGAAAGAACCTCTGGCTCTACTCCTGAGAAGAACATAAGCTCCACAGGGTGGGGCAAGAGGCATTCAGTGGATGGGGCTGTTACTTCCCCTCAGGCTTATGCCATATGGAAGGGAATGCTCTGCCCAAGAAAAATGGCTTCTGCACTATGGGAGAATGACTCAGCACAGAGATTCTGGCCGCTGACCCTTCAGCTCTCTCCCTAGAGCTACCAACCCCCAAGTCTCCTCATTTGGCTCTAGTGCATTCTGCCCTCCATCTCCTGGAGTCCAGAATGAGTGGCTGTGAACCACACTCAGTGTGTTGGCCTTTTAAGAGGGTGCTTGTGTCTCTATGCCATCTCTCCCTGCTGGACAAAAACCCTGCTGCTTTTCACAGCTAGATGGTATGTGGTCACCTTCCCTGGGTCTCGTGCTCTAGGCACGAGAGTCCAGCTTGGGTCTTAAACCCTATACTTCTCAGGGGGAACTCCCCCCACCGACTCCCTCTCCCTGCAGCTGAGATCTCCCTCAAGAATTTCAGCTGCTTTCCATAGGAGCCCGGCCAGCCCTCTCACAACTCCACACTTCCTACCAGTATCCATGTGTCGTCTTCTGTAAATCCGTGGTTATAAGGCTTCTCTCCAGCTAGTTGGTTATGCAGGATGATTTTAGTTATAATTCTAGTTTGGTCCTGGGGGGAGGTTAGTGTAGCTTCCACCTAATCTGCCACTGTCTTCCCAGATCTCCTGTGGCCTTTTGATACATAAATAATTAATAGTAGGAAAGCCAAATAATGCATTATTTATTCATTTTTCAACCTATATATTATGAGCATCTATTGGATTCTGTGTATTGTACTAATCACTAATGATGCTCAGTTCAGTAAAATTGTGCTGTATGGTCTGGTGAGAGAGAGGTAATGATTTCTCTTAGAAACCCAACAGCCACAACTACCGTAATTTTGTCAGGTATCCATATGTAGATAGACCATAGTAAATTTGAACTATATCATGGTTCTCAAACTTAAGCATGCATCTGAAGACTTGTTAAAATACAAATTGTTGGACTCACCTACAGAGCTTCTTAATTCAGTAGGTCTGGGTAGAATCTACAGGTAGAATTTGCATTTTTTAACAAATTTCCAATGGTGCTAATCATAATCCAGGTATCACATTTTGACAGCCATTGATATAAGCTTTTCTATTGTATTATGTCTACTCATAGTGGGTGGAGTGATGGCCCAAACACAAAAGTTTGCTTTGGATCCATTTTTAAAAATTGTTGTTATAAGTAAAATTAGTTCTAGAACAATATTTTAAGCTACTGCTTTTTTGGTTTTTTGGTTTTTTAATATATCTTTATTGATTTTCAGAGAGAGGAAGGGAGAGGGAGGGAGACAGAAACATCAATGATGAGAGAGTCATTCATTCGTTGCCTCCTGCATGCCCCCTGCTGGAGATCGAGCCTGCAACCTGGGGATGTGCCCTGACTGGGAACCGAACCTCAGGCTCCTGGATCATAGGTTGATGCTCAACTGCTGAGCCATGCTGGCTGGGCAAGCTACTGTTTTTAATGATTTTATATTTAGTGGATTAAAATAGTGAAACTTATTTTCTTCTTCCTACTAACATTTTCATGTGCAGACTAATTAGCTTCTGAACCCTCTTCTTTTGTATTAAAAATTATGAAAATACCAGTTTTGTAGGATTGAGGATTAAATGACTATGTATATGAAAAGCACTTTAAACTTGAACTCTAAGTAGTCATTCCAATTGTTTGTTTATTTTTGTTCAGAGTCTAGCATTTCAGAAACTGGGGATGGAATCTAGACTTGTGAGCAGCAGCGGGGCTGGCAAAGACCCTGCAGCATGCACTCCTGCACGATCTTTCCTAGCACAGCAACGGCACATCACCAGCACCCGAAGAAATCTCTCTGTCAAAGTTCCTGCTACAACCTCTGATTAAACTACTAAAGAAAACAAACAGAAGTGCCCTTAAAGCAATTTGTGTCTTTCAACTAACTACGAGATTGAAAAAGAAGTTTTATGATGCTGGATATCAGCTGTTCAAAAGGCCTGTAGTTAATTTTGCTGGCTGACTTTGAAAACAAAATATAGAATTAGCTATCTCTTTGAGGGAGCACATTTGAATATTTAGAAGAGGTAATTAGGCATACATCTCAAACATTTGTGTTTTGAGAGTATTATAATTTTAAATTGACTGTATATTTTAGTTTAATGTTTTCATTTGCATCAGTAACTTGGTTAACTTGCAATGTGTAATCAGTAATAAGTAACTTAAAAATATATCTATATTCATTTTATTGTTTTGGTCCATATAAAAATAGTGTCAAGGTAGGCACACATGTAGGACTATACAAGAGTTACATTTTTTGACTTGATATATACAAGGTTTCACCTCCAGCCTCTAACTCTATCATTGAATGGATATATCTTGTCATGTAGTGGAAGATATAACATTGGGAGGTTTTGACTGTTGAAATGGCTCTGCCAGAGCAAAGTGACTAATTGGAAACTTTGCTGATTCAGAAGAGGTTAGTTATACTTATGTGTACCGACTATAAACACGGGCTCCTGTACGGCATGATTAAAATGTGAAGGGTGAGGGAATAAACTGATCTTTGTAAGAGGTGGCTTTCTGATGGGAAACAAGCTAAAAATATACTTTGTGTGAAACATCCACATGCTCTTTATTATAATTAATGAAGATTACAATTATTTTACTTTTAAGCACAAAATTATCAGGGTTTCTGCTAACAATGTCATAGTAATATTCCCTCCTCACTGAGAAGAGGTGATGCAGCATTGAAACAATTTAGAATCAGTTTCATTTTGTTAACCTATTAAACAATCTATCTTGGGCTGTGTTTATGGTATTCAGTTTGTTTCTGCCCAAAGCTCTTTATTTTCAAAGGTGTTACTTTCTCACTTTTTAAGAGTTGTGTGTTGGAATTTTAATTTAGTTGAGTAAAATATGTGCTGTTCAGTATTGTAGCCACATGTGGCAATTTTACATAAATTCATTGAAGTTAGGTTTCTTGGTTACCCAGCCAGTTCCAATGCTCAGTATCCACATTGGCTAATGGCTCCAGAATTGGACAGTGTGGATATTACACACTTAACATATATCTAGATCAGGCAGGGGTCAGCCCACTTTCTGTAAAGGGACAGATAGTAATTATTTTAGGCATTGTTGGCAATGTGATCAGTAGCAAGTACTCAGCTCTGCTGTTAAGTATGAAAGCAGTGGCAAACCAAATACGTGTGGTTGTATTTCAATAAAACTATATTTACAAAAACTGGTGGTAGGTCAGATTTGGCCTGTAGGCTGTAGACTCCCTTGGGTCTACAGTTTATTCTTAACCTTTCCTTGAAAATATGAATATTGTTCCATTTACAGTGTTACTCAGATTCTTGGTTTCTAGATTCTCTACCAGTAATTTTTTTTTAATTACTGAAAATACAAGAATTTCATACTGCATTTTGGTCTCTGAGATTAGGGTGCATCTGTCAGGATATTTTGTTTTATCAGGGTTACTTCTGTTGACTACCTCTTAGATTTTGATGTCCTTTTTCAGTGTTTGTGTCTTCATATATTCTTATAGTCTCTGCTTGCCTGTGACTTTTAGTGAAATGAAATAACCCTTTGAAAATATATTAGCATGCTAATTAAAATTTTCTAGATATATGGCATTTCAGTATATTTTGGTCAGTGTAAGACACAAGCTCCTTTGGTATTTGCTACTTGCTTATAATTGAGATTTTACAAGCTCTTCAAGCTCCCTTTTAATGGAATTTATTATAAAACATCAATTACAATAAATTAGTATTTTCACAATTCAGTTGCTCATAAATTTTCAATTATACGTGGAATTTATAAGTAATTCGTGCAATTTCTGAATAAGAACCAAAAGCTAGGTTCTTTTATCTTAATAGAGAAAAAGCAAATTTTGTGATTTACTACTTTTCTAGTTTATAAGTAGAATTTAAATTGCTTGATATGTAAGTATTTATACAAGACTAAAGGAATTTAAAGTTGTGTATTATTGTGATTAATTATATGGAAATTCAGGAACTGATCAGAAGTGAGATTCTTTTCCACATCTGGTTAATATAGTGAGATTGACACCCTGTGGGTGGTAAAGCATAAATACTCCTCATAAACCATGAATTGTACATGTCTGTGTTGTAAGTGATGCTTAAGTGCATATACCAGGGAAGAGAAATTTAGCATTTATCTATGTCATAACGAGTTGAATGTCCCAGTGATAATGGAGTAAAACCACAGACCAATTTGGAAATGATCTTTAATTTTGAGTATTTGCTATAAAATTAATATTCCTTTCTCTTTTTAAAGTAAAAAGTGTGTATATGTATGACAATGATGTTTATCCTGAGATTAATTTAATGTATTAAGAAATATTTTAAGTTCACTGTATTTTTTTAATGAATAAGGCTGTTAAAGTAATGATTTAGTATGGATTAAGAATTAATATCCTGCCCTGGCCAGTGTTGCTCAGTGGTTAGAGTGTAGGCCTGTGCACCAACAGGTCGAGGGCTCAAATCCAGGTAAAGTGCACATGCCTGGGTTGTAGGTTCTGTCCCCAGCCCCAGTCGGGGTGCGTGTAGGAGACAAACCGTCAATGTCTCTCTCACATAGATGTTTCTCTCTCTCTCTTCCTCCCTCTCTCTCCTCCCTCCCTGCCACTTTCTGTAAAAATCAATGAAAAAAAATGTCCTTGGGTGAAGATTAACAACAACAACAACAAAAAGAATCAATGTCTTGTCTGGAAACATTAAACTGGGCATCCCTCCTGAAGATGTCATTGTGGAGAACTAGAGTGCTGATTTGAATGTTGAGTAATGCTTGCGTCTCTACACCTGTTTATGTGTAGTGGCACACCTGGCTCTACGGAGTGGCATTTAGGGCAAGTACTACCGTGTTAGGTCCTCTATATGTATATTTAACAAGAACCATTCCTATGTAAACTGTGCGTATGATTGTATGCATACATTCTTATTGTGAACCTGTACATTGCGAAGTAGTAGTTTGGAAATTTGTAAAACACCAAAGCACAACCACAAAAGAAAATGGTGTGCGGTCATTAAACGTGATGTAGCTTAATTGTAATGTTTAGTTTATAAAAGGTTCTTTCTATTTTCTATGGCAAAGACTTTGACACTTGAAAAGTAGAAGCAATACTTGATTTATTTTTGTAAGTATTTAGGGTATTTTAAATAAATGATTGTCTAATAACAGTATAATAGTTGTAGTGTTTTAAGTAAATAAAGTTGCTGATTCTGTGTGATGGTAATAATGGACTTTTAGTAGGTACAAGTGCACATTTATTTGCTGCTTTAAATAAAGGACTTAAAATATTTAGATTGGCCTGGCCTGTGTGGCTCAGTGATTGAGCGTTGACCCATGAAGCTGGAGGTCACAGTTCGATTCCTGGTCAGGGCACATGCCCAGGTTTCAGGCTCAATCCCCAGTAGGGGGTGTGCAGGAAGCAGCCAATCAATGATTCTCATCATTGATGTTTCTATCTCCCTCTCCCTTCCTTCCTCTCTCAGAAATAAAAAAAAAAAACATAAAAAATATTTAGATCTGTAAAGGAAAATAATTGCATTAGTTCTTCTAATTTTGTTTTATGTTTGAATTGTTTTGGTGAATAAGTAGATGTGTAAAAGTGATTTTTTGGTTTGCCCAGTTATATCTCCAGTTTCACCACTGGAATCTAGGCATTTTCCATTGTGGAAGTCATAACATTTCTGTGTTTTCTTTGACAGAGACTGCTAACCATCTCTCAACTTCCATTCTCCTTTGTCGTGTAGTAATAGAACCCCATGCTTTAGCTTGTTACATTTACCTTACATCCAGGGAGGAAAAATAAGTACTTCTCGGACTCCCTTGTAGTAGTGAGATGGGGTCTTTTCCCTAAGTTCTGGCTAAAGAGATATGAAGAGTAGTGATGTGTAAAAGAATGAGTGTCCTTTCCCCAGCCTTTTCCCCTTCTGGAATGCCATGTGCCAGAAGGTGACTGTCAAAGACAGTGGACCAACAAGAAAGAAAGGACCTGCATCCTTGAAATCACCACTTAGCTGTATCAGCTGTGGACCTGCAGTCCCTACTTCTCTTGTTTAAGCAATTTTTTATAGCTACTTTATTTTGGGGCTTCTTTCTTCTGGTATTTTATTTCCCTATCTATACAGGCTTATCAAAATACATTGTGAAAGTTTTGGAAAAGTGCAGGTGCTCCGTGTTCTTGGGTTATGTTTTGGAAAGGTTTAATTCTGTTTCTGTTAATGGAGGCTCAATAAATAATTGTTTAATCCCATGAATAAAGTTAATGTGCTAGATACACAAAAGTGAAGTCCTGTCTCACTTTAGGTTGATCTTCATGATCTCCAAAGACCACGATTCTATACATTTAACTTTCTGGACTGGACAGTAAATGCTGTCCAGTATCACATAACTTTGTGAGTAGTTCATTAAGAGTGACTTAGGCTCTAGACCTGCACCAACCAATATGGTGACTGCTAGCCACATTGGACATTTAATCATAAATTTTAATTAAATTTTATTTCCTCATTATAGCCACATAGAGCTTGTGGCTACGATATTGGACAGTGCAGATATAGAACATTTCTGTCATCGCAGAAAACTTTACTGGACAGCACTGTCCCAGATGTCTAGGTTAAAAGTACACATTCTGTCTTTCTCGGAAGCTCCATGTGATATGGGATCACACAAGTGTAGGGAGAGGAAGCTTTCAGACATCACGTGCACAGTAACATACCCAGGGCTAGAGCTGCGGTGGGTTCCTCATCTGGCTGTGGCTCTGGTGGTGATGCACTCCCTCCATGCCCTTGCTCGCCTGGGCTGCAGCAACTTGCTCTCGGTGACTAGTAAATACTACATTCTAGACCTTTTGCTTCAACTTAAACCTTCCCCTCTTCCATAAATGCATCCATGATTTCTCAAACAAGGTGAGAAATCCATTTTTCTAAAACTTTAAATGTTTTTGTCTTAGTGACCTTAATGTCATCTACTTTTTTAAAATGTCTGTCCCTCTAGACTAAGTCTCTTGAAGTCAGGGGCCATATCCGGCTTATCTCAGTTTCCCTCATGGCACTTGAAACACTCTCTTCCACAAAGTCAACAGCTATGTACTAGCTGAACTAGACTTGCTGGTGATGGACAGAGTATTTTCTTTAGAAATCAGTCTCAAGATTCTCTGAATTGGAGGAGTGCATTGGCAGGAGCACCTGAATAGGCAAGAAATTAAGAGACCAGGACATTTTATTTCAGCCCCACAACTAACCAGCACTTATCCATAAGCCTCTTTCTTGGTTTTATCTATCACAAGTCATGTTTTTATAAGAGCTTTATTGAGATAGAATTCACATACCATATAAACTCGTTTAAACAGTGTACAAATCAGAAGTTTTTAGTATATCCACAGTTGTGTGACCATCACCATTCTCTAATTTTAAAACCTTTTATCACCCAAATAGAAACCCTGTAGCCACTAGTGTTCACTCTGCTTCTCCCCTCCTCCCAGCTCTGGGTACCACTTGTCTGCTTTCTCTGCCTATTTTGGACATTTCACACATATGGAATCATGTAGAATGTGGGCTTTGGGACTAGATTCTTAAGCATTTTTAAGGTTCACCCATGTTGTAGCATGTGTCAGTACTTAATCTCTTTTTGTTGCTGAATAATATTTTGTTGCATGGACATACCACATTAGTCATTCATCAGTTGATGGATAACTTGGGTTCTGGCTATTCTGCATAATTCTGCTATGAACATTCATGCACAAGTTTTTGTGTGGAAATGGGTTTCATTTATCTTGGATATATCCTGCCATAGTCTGGTTGTTTGTGTCCCTCCAAAATTCTTATGTTGAAATCCTGCCCCCCATGGTGATAGTAATTAGGAGGCATAGCCTTTGAGAGGTGGTTAGGTCATGAGAGCTCATAAATGGGATCCGTGCCCTTTTAAAATAGGCCTGAGAAAAAAGCTCTTATGCCCTCAGAAGAGACGCATGGAACTTTTGCTCTCATTTTCTTGGCCAAAGCAAATGACACGGCCATTCCTGCATATGTGAGAGTGGTTACATGTGATTATCCCACCACGAGGAACACCACAAAAAAGGGCAACTAGGGAGAGACAGTGAGTCTTTTGACCAATGTCATAATCAACCACAGCAGGTGTTAATTATTTTGAAGATTAGGAAATAGGTCCAGGAAAGTAGAGTATCCTGTTTAATTTACAAGCAAAAATTAATAAATGGTAAGACCTGGGTTGAATTCAGGCTAGCCTAGCTTCAAAGCCCTGACCCCCAGTTCATCGGACTCCCTGTGCTACCCATCGCCTGTGTGCCGAGTCTTCTAACGCTGTTTTATGTGATATCTTCAGTCCCTTGATGTATTTGGGTGAAGAGAAGCGTCTGCTCTGGCCTTGACAGTTGTACAAGGATCATCATGATTCAGCCCCGGAAAGTGAGCCTTTGCATTTGACCCTTTATTCATGCTTAGTTTAATATCTTGTCTGTTTCCAAAGCAGAATGTTGTTAGATTTTCAGAGCAGAACGGGGAGAGCTCACGGTGAATGCACAAAAACACAATGTGACCCAAATAGTACAAGATATCCATTGGGGGACATTAGCCTATTCTGGAGAAATAAGCATGGGGAAATGGAATAGGTGGCCCCATTCCAGAAAGCAGCTGGGAAATGGAGCAGTGAGGTAAGAATGAGCCTGTGCTTCCCACTGTATCACTGAAGGACTGTAGGAGAAGCTGGCATTGGGACTGAGAAATAGGTCATCAGAATGAGATGACAGGGACAGAGGAGTAGGGGCAGAGATATGATTTTGATCAGTAGGTACAATCTAGCACCAGCCCACAGTGGTTCTACCTTCATTCATTCATTTTTTGATCCCCAATGCAATTAAGGCACTACTCTTAATATTGAAAAAGACACTGTTCCTGCCCTCAAGGAATGTATCGGTTAACTATTGCTGTGTAACACTGCACCACAAAACGTAGAGGTTTAAAACAATAACCTTCATTTAAGGTTGGCAATTTAGGCTGGGTTCAGTGGGGCAGTGCTTGCCTCAGATGGGATCACTCATGCACCTGCATTCAGCATTATGCTAGGATCTAGGTCATCTCAACTGGTATTTGCACAGCTCTGGTATTTGCACAACTGGTATTTGCACAACTGGTGGTTGGCCAGCTGTCACCTAGGGCAACATGACAGGAATCACCAGACCATGTGTTTCTCATCATCAGGGTAACATAGGCTCCAAATTTTAATGGCCAGAATGAGATTTCTTGGGAGTGAATGTGACAGACAATGTTTATCTAAGAGTAACCAGAAAAGTGATGAACTCTGAAGAAATTTCATTCAGAGGAAGAAAGGAGTAGTTCTGAGAGAGTGGGGGTGGGGAGTATGGGAATAAAGCTACATTTTCATTGCACCCTATTGAGTCCCATGCTATCTTTATAAATTTATTCTCACCACCACAGAGGGAGGTTTTTACCTTCATACCCATGTTTTAGAGGAAGAAAATGGAGGCTTGCCAGGCAAATGTCTTGCTCAGAGTCACAGGAAAGGGTTAAGAAGAGAAGAAACTTAAAGCCCCTGGAATGCCTTTAGCCCCCAGCGCCCTCCCCCTTCCCTCTTGATAGCTTAGCAACGGGCAGGCTCAGTAGGCTGGAGTTGGCTTCAGGGGAGAACAGCTTGATGCAGAGTGTGGAGCCTGAGAATGAAGATGCCCACTGAGAAGGGCCCCTGGTGTCTTCACTGGGCTTAAATTAAAAAGCAAATAAACAAAAACAGAGCCTAGCAGCTGTTTCTACACAGGGGCCTCTCATGAAAAGGGCACTTCAGGGAGAAGCCTGCATTGAGCTGCCTGCCTTTCTACACTGTTCCTGCATTGGGGCCAGTCCTTGAGGTCCTAGAAGCCTGTTTCAACCCATAGGACTGAGGCTTCCCCATCCAGTTAAAGTGGCTCAGCTATTGCCTCCACATCTTCACCAGCCAACAGAGAAGGTCCATTCTGACCGATAAGGCCCTGCCTTTCGGACCAATTCAAGTGCAAGGATTGGAGCCCTCACTTGCATGAGGATGGGCCAATCAGAGCAGGGGTGGGGACTTCTGTCTACATAAGCCAGCTTCCCTCTGGCTCAGGGAGTGCGCTTTCCCTTTCCACCAAACACTGGAGCTGAAACACTGCAGACATCTCACGGGAGCAGAGCAAAACAGACCTGCACAGGACCCGAGAGGCAGACCGGCACAGAGTGGAGCGGAGCCTCGCTGAAGGGGGCATGGCCGCAGCCCCCCAGCTTCCCCAGGGCTGCCTCACAGCCCTGCTGTTTTCACAGCCTTGCTGTATCACCATTGAACTGTTCTGCACTGAATACATTTTCCTTCACTGCACCTCAATTGTGAATTCCTATTGGCATTGAGTTGGCACCAAGGACCATCTGTTGACAAGTTAGATCTCTGAACTCTCTGTTCTGGCAAAGCAGTTTCCCCACCCAGGAAGCTGTCCTGATTTCTTACTTAGTAACCTAGCCAGCCCCTGGCTCCTATCTGTAAATTTGTAGGGCCTTCTGAGAGGCCCTTTCCTGGACCCTCTCCCTATTGCACGCAGGCCAGCTATGCCACCAGGGCCTACTTCCACATGAACTTAGGTTATCCTATGTGTCCTGCTCTTTCTCTGTGTAAATCCTCTGCCCCTGGGTCGTTTTAATTTAGAGTGCAGTGTGCGTATGTCTGTGTGTCTGCAGGACAGCAGTGGAGAAAAGATTCACAGCCTGGATTGCTTTTGGGTAAAATCTGTATCTTGGCCAGGATTCCACAGAAAATGTCATAGGCTTGTACATGGTGTGTCAGACACTGATGCAAAGGAAGAGGGTAAGGGGCCCTGGAGCTTTCAAACTAGAGTTGCAAACTAGAGAAACAGAGTTACAAAAGTCAGATAAAATCTTTGTGTAATGCTTGAATGAGACCTCATAGTAGAATCTCTCTAAGGATCTTTGAGGGGGAAAATGAGTCATTTTACATTGCCAGAAACTTCAGTTACTCCCAGTGATCCCAGTAAACTTCAGTTACTCCCAGTCATTGCCAGAAACATCAGTTGTTCCCAGTCATCTAGTCCCCAAGGTTTCACATTAACTGGTCACACTGTCCTGGCTCTGGATCCCAATCCATGGGTTAGGTCAGGATGAGGACCTGTTGCTTTACATTGATTCCACAAGGAGTGTGTGAATGCCTGCCCATCTGGAATCAGGATAGATGGACAGCAGAGCAGGAGAGCCTTCAACAAAGCCCTTCATTTTACAAATGAGACTGATCATAGCATGTGAAGTATTTTGGTCAATTTCTCAGTCTCCTACTCAGGTGATCTGATTTAAAAAAAGAAAGAAAGAAATGGAAGACAAGTTCATAGATGTTTAAGAAGTTCAAGGCCTGATGCGATTGGCTTTATTGTAGGAATATCATTGGGGGTTGTTTCCTAGAGATACATGATTTGCACGAGGCTACATTGGAGAAGATAAAACTGGATTTGAATCCCGTTTCCTCTGAGTCCAAGTCCTAGTCTTTCCTCAGAGCCACTTCCACTCTTGTCCCTCACTTCTGAGCAGGCTCCCTTGACTTTGGAGGACATGCCCATTCTTCCTGCTTTCCTCCCCCCTCTCCTTCCCCAACACCCTCAAGCCCGAGGGACTGCACAGAGGCGGTGGTCGACTGGGGAGAGGGTGATTCCTGTTCTGAATTCCAGGGTCAGCTCCTCATTGTCTGGGGCCTTAAAGGTAAATTTTTGCAAAAGGGAGGTGAAGAAAATAAACAGCTCGGATTTGGCCAGCTGTTCTCCGAGGCATACTCGCTTCCCTGAAAGACAAGAACATAACAGACGAGTTATCTTCCCGCTAGTATCAGTGCCCACCAGGCACTGAAGTCTTCTACCACCTCATGCAAAACTTGAACAGAGGAAGGGCCTGCTAGGCCCTGGGGCATTCTGTACAGAGGCTCATTTAATCTGACAACCACTGGGTTTCAGCAAAGCACAGATGTCATATGTCTGGACTCACTCCAATGCCTTCAGGTGTCAGGCAGGTGAAGGTACAGAGTGGAAGTGATGATAGAAGTGGGAGGCCTGGGGTGACCTAGAAAGTGAATGTCTAGCCCACAGGCTCTAAAAATCAATTAACAATCAATGACAAAAGCAGAAAACAAAACTTTGTTAATTTTTTTCAGTCCTTAAAGGAATACTATCCAAAACTAAGTCAGTAAATGTCAGAGCAGGGTTTGTAAAGTACAAGGCATCTTTCCCCTGGGTCACATTTCCCCACTTAATGATCGGGGACCTCACTGACATGGATGATCCTCTACATTAGAATGCTTCAGCCTCCCTCCTTGAATAGTCCTTATGCCTGCCTGTCCTTCCCCCGGTACTTGTGCCTTCCCTTCTAACACGGGGCCCTAGGCCAGATCCTTTACTCCACGGCTCATACTTGGCCTTGTCTGAGCCACATGCCCAGCCCTGTTGTGTGAATCCAGAACTGGAGGCAGAAAGACAAGAGATCCAATTCAACTCCTCCCATTTTCTAGACATGTGATTCGGGGCAAAATAAGTAACTTCTCTAGGTATTAGTGGAAATGTGTGTTTAACATGGGAAATTTATATTACGTACTGCCTGAGCTACACACTGAATCCAAGTAATTTAATACTGTAGAGAGCGAAACGAAGCATTTTAATGCCTCTCCTGGATAATAGTAAACATTCTAGCTGTAAAATAGCTTATCTTTAACCTGATCTGGTTACTTATTTAAAAAAATCCAGGACACAATTTAAAAGACTACATTTAAATAAATCTTTTGGGTGGTAGCACTACTGAAATAGCTTTCTGTGTATCACAGTCCTTTACTGGGATGCTGTTCACACTGTACCTTTTATTCTGGAGTAATTTCAAATGGACAGAAAAATTGCAAGAATAATGAAAAGAAAAAGTGTTTTTCTAAGTTAGTTGAGAGTAAACGGCCTACATTACCCATGAAGTCTTCAGAGTGAATTCCCTCAAATAACATTGTCCGACAGAACCACCAGATCAGGAAATGAGCACAATCTCCTCCTCAGACCCTAATCGGGTTTTGCCATTCTCGCAATAATGTCCTTTATTTAGCAAAGGGACCCAGTTTAGTATCAGGAGTTGCATTTGGCTGTCATGCAAGTGACTTCTCAGCTTTTCTGACTTTGGGACTTTGAAGGTGACAGACCCATTATTTGGTGAATGTCTCTCACGTTCCCTCATGATTAGATTCGGGTTGTGAGGTCATGCATTTCTGGGGAAGGATCACCCAACCAAGGCTGTGTTCTTCTCATTTTACCCCATCAGGTGGACATGGTCTTGATTTGCCCCATTATTGCTGATGTTAAACTTGATTACGGTGGTATCTACCAAGTGTCCCCTATAAAATTACTCTTTTTGCAATAAATACTACTTTGGGACTATGTTAATAAACCATTCCTCATTAAACTAGTTTAACTAGTTTCCCTTGCTATTTCTTCACCAAATTATTAATTAATTGTTGCCCAATCGAGAGTTTTAAAATTCCATCATTCCTTCCACATTATTAGCATTTTACTAAAGGAAATGCTTTCTCTCCTTCCTATTTTATTTATTCATTTATTTATATCAGTATGAATTCACAGATTCCTATTTTTTTCAAAGGTTTAAAATTTGTTATTAGTGTTTCAATCTTGAGAGTCTCCCTCCAGATTTGGCTAGTAAATGAGCATTTAGCTGGTATTTTCTTTCTTTTGGACACAAAAATATGTTCCAGGCTTATCTCATGCTTTCCTTCCCCCAGCCTGGAATGAGCTATTTTCCCCAGAAGTCTTGATTCCTTTTAGTGGATAATACGTAGAAACCAAGATCTGGGCATTAGACACGCTCATTGGTATCGAGGTGGTGTTGCTCCCAGGGCATCTCAGTGGGTAGAGCTGGGAAGTCTGTATGTATATAATGCGAGTATATATTTAAATGTATATATACATCCATGCTTACATCTATATTTACTTCTATACCTACCTACCTACCTACCAATCTATCAGAATCTGAGTTCCTATCGATAACCTCCGATTTCAATCCAACACCACAGAGTTCATTCTATTACCACTCCTTCCCTATCTGGAACTTCTTCCCACCATCCTCGATATGTTTCCTTATTGGTTCAGTATCCCATGTATATAACTCATCTTCCATCACTGCCATAGCCCGTCTGTGCAGACCCTGCCTCATCTTGCTTGTGCTCTGACACCCATTCTAGGCATCCGCTGTCCCCTCCCCTTCGCAAGTGCCCTTCTCATCCTCCTTGGGCTACAACACCCCACACTAGTCACCACCACCATCTCTCTTGGATGTGTAATAATTTATTTTCTCCCTAAGTAATACATATTCAATGCAAAAACAAAAAATGAGTGTAAAAAGGAAAGTATAAAAAACAGTAACAGATGTAAAAGACGCCATAGTTAACCCCTCAAGTCTCAGTTCTGTTATCTCTAAAGTAGCAATAGTGGTATGAACCCTGTTAAGGTTACACTAGAAATAACTCAACACTAAGAGATATACTAAGAATTTTTGTTACTCATTTTACAGTGTTATGAGTTAAAGCAGCCTTTTGGAACTGGCGGCCTGGAAACATGAGTTTTCACATCACCCTCTTTTGCACCAGTCAAGTTGTCCACCATGTAAATGTATTTGATTTTTCCAGCATAATTAAAATTTGAAAAGGCAAAAGGGGAGCACATGTAGAGTAGAATCCCATCTAGTCAAGCCATGGCACTCGGCATCACTCCTGGCCCCTCCCCATCCCCTTCTTATAAATTGGCTCTAGCTCCATGTGAGTGGGTGGCCCTTAAAAAGAACTTGAGACATTCAAAAACACTGTGAAGATGGCAAGTGTCCAACCTTTTTTGTGAGCTCGAGGCGGGGTCTGAGTCTGTTCCTAGTGTTCTGGGGGACAGAACAAAGTAAAGCTGAAATCTGCAGGCTGTCCTGACTGCCAAGCAATGCCTGGAGCCACGCCAGCCCTGGGAATCCTGAGCTGGAACAATAGTAACAGGGAGTCACGCTGCGCAGGGCTATCTGGAGACGGTCCAATGCAAGCAGAGGATGGTGGGGAGAAGAGCAGGGGTGGCCTGAGGGAGGAACTCTGGGTTCAAACACTCTGATTTTGTAGAACTCACCTATTGAGAAAGGCAGAAAGGCTTCCCTTTTCTTAAACTGTCCATTCTCCAGAAAGTGTTCCGGATTAAATGTGTCGGGGGTGGCCCACTCTGCAGGGTCCCTGTGCAGTGCAGTCAGATTGGTCATGATCATGGTCCCCTAGAGAAGGCAGCAAAGACAGGCAAGGTTTGACCCACACAACATACCCGTGCAGCGGGGCGAATGTCGCCTGCTCCCAAGCCAGGGCCTGAGCACACCCTCGCCCTCTCCAGCCCACCATCTTCTGAGCCGAGCCACCCTCCTCCAACCCACCGAGGGCCCTGCTCGTAGCCATGGGACAGCCTGCAGTGCTGGACTACAAATGCTTGCTGGGAATTCACTAGGGAAGTGTGGCTGCTCTTGACTGCAGTCTGAGTGTTCTCTGCAGGGACCAGTCAGTGCAGGACTTGGGGGCAGACGTGCATGCACCGATGAGAGAGCGGCACAGAGCTTTACCAGCCAGTGCTGTACCCCGATCTACCCAGCTGCTCACTGAAGTGATAACCATGGCAGCTCCAGCAAGGTAAAAGCTGCCTCGTTCATCCGTCTCTCCCATTCTCTTCCCTCCCATGTGTGCTACACTGCACAGGAGATTTAATAATAAATCAGGTCGCCCAGTCAAAGCAACCACCACTCCTGCAGGCACACAGCAAGAAACCCACGAGTCCTGAGTGCCTCCCTTGCCCTCACCGTGCCTTCCTGTAACACCTTTCAGGGAGGCTGATTAATTTTACCTTCAATTTCTCTTGATTCTGTCACCTCCGTTCTATGTGCACTGTTGCCATCCTAGTCCAGGCTACCACTTTGCCTGCCTGTACTCCTAGAATAGCTGGCTAACGGTGCCCCCGGACTCTCTTTTCCCTTTCAGTCTGCTCTATACTCTGAAAGCCCAGCAAGCGTCGAATAGGATATAATCGTATCACACCCATCTACCAGCCCACCCATCCCTTGAACTTGACCTTGATAGAACCTTTCAAGAGCTTCCCACCGCTGTCAGGTGACAGATCATTGCCTGACCCCTGTCTGGGCCACTCTCCCTCTGCCTGCACCCCCATTACATCGGCCTTCTTTCAGTTTCTCAAACAGCTCTGTTCCCACTCATTTCCATACCTTTTAAACTGTTGTTTACAGTGTCTGAATGTCTTTCCTCCTAACTCTTAAGCATTCTGCTGTGCTCAGCTCAAACATCACTTCCTTTGGAAGCCTCCTCTGACCACTCCTGTTCCTACTCCCCACTCCAGGCAGCCTTCACCTTTATAGAAACCTGTGAGTTTTTCCAGTGGGGCAGTTATCATGGTTACTAAGTAGGTACTAGCATGGTTTTTTCCTCAGGCTTGTTTTCCCACACCTGAGCATTTTAGACCCTTAATGAACTTGTGTTGAATTAATAAAGGATAGCTGCTATTTTAAGTACTTTCTACACTAAGCACTAGATTCAACGTTAGATATGTATGACTTCATTTTACCTTGACCTGTGAGGTAGGTTTAATGGATTTTACAATAAAGAAATTGAAACTCTGAGAGGTTAAATAATGTACCCAGAGCCACACAATGGGAGGAGGCAGAGCTAGAATTTGAACTAGGTCTACTTGAGGTCAAAGGCATGGCTCCGAGCCTCTACAATATAGTCACTTAGTTCTCTCAGTTCCCAGGATAGTTATTAAAGTGGATGTTCAAAATCAGCCATAGAACTGGGCTGGTTCCCTGGAGCTTAAATGAATTGCTATAAAAATGCAAGCAGCACCTGTGAAATAATTTAGGCCTCAACCTTCACCGACAACATGGTCCATCAGCAAGGAACAGTGAGTGCCATAGCTGTAGGTATAGCTACTTTTCCTGGCACTGCAGGGACAGAGGCCAAAACGTGTACAATGGGAACCCCCCCCCC